TGCCTGCTAAAAACTCAACAGGAGGTTGTCACCAAATCAGTTGCAATTTAGGAATGAATTTTTCTAACCCTAATGCTACAGTTCATACAAACATGTATATATAAGCATTACTTATCTTGTTTTTAGTACAATGGTTTTTTTGTTTGTTTTTTGCTAGACAATGGGGTTAAGAGCTAGTAAGTGTCAAGTGTCTGAGGCTGAATTTGAACCCAGGTCCTCCTGACTTCAGGGCCAGTGCTTTATCCCCTGAGCCAAGTTGCTGCTCCTAGTACAATGTTTTTTAGGCAGCTAAAAATAAGAAAAAAATTTTCTGTGTCCTTACAAAAAAAATTTTAAATATTATGAAGTGAATATGCATTTTTTGTTAACTATAGCAATAGAACCTTTTTATTTTTCACTATGGCATAAACTAAAGAATTACATGAAAAAGTTAATTGTATGTTTTGTGATATTTACTTTGCTTTTAGGCAAAGTAAACACCGTTCACTGGCTTGATAAATACACAGAAGGCTTATTCTGCAAGTTTTTCTTCAAGTGACAAACTTCATGAAAGGGTGGTCCATTTGACAATCATTTTCTGTAAATAATCTCAGTGTTACTATCTATTTCCTTTGACAGATGGTGCATTTTTTTTCCTTCACATTTTAGGGCAGTAGACTTGTGCAGCTTAATTTAACAGTATCAGATGTGAATAAAATACGGAAAACTTTCTTTTCCATTGCTGTTAAAGGGAATAACTAGCTATAAATGTGCTTAAAGACCCACATCCAAAATACATATTTTCTTTTAAAAGTTGTCAACAGTGGAAAAATACATACTAATTAGGAAGACTATAACGTTTAGTGTATTTTAGTATAAACTATTTTATCTCAAAGCTTGCAAACTTTTAAAACAGTTCATCTGAAGTTCATATATTTGCAAACTTTTCTGAAAAACCAAATGTATTACTAATTTAAAGAGCAAATACACAAACTGAAAACTAAATTGCAGGGGAAAGCATATTAGGAAACAACTTTATACACGTGGCACTTATTAAAACAAGGAGTCATTGCATAACTTTTCCATAATTCAGGAAATGTTTAGGCATCTAGAAATGGTCTTTTCAGACAGTCTAACAGTGCTATTAACATAGACTTTGCTGCGTGGCAGTTTCTACAAAGGGACTGTGTTCTACAGTTTTCCTATGATAGTTGCCAGCATACCTATGAGTCTTCCAGGATTTCATTAATTCAATTCCCAAATTTAGTTATGGAAAATAACAGCCTTTTTGTTGTTGTTGTTGTTGAGGGTAATGGGGACATGGGATTGTTTTTGGTGAAGGTTTGGCATTTATTTGTATAATGAAGAATTTAGATATAATAAAAGTATTGAAATGTATAGATAAAATTAAATTTCAGTGAACTTGTGTAGTCTCTCATTTTATAAATAAAATTTGGTAGAACAGGATGATGACTCGATATCTATTGCTATTTTTCATACCAGGAGGTGATGGCTGTTGCTTTGAGGGAGCAGTATTCTATACCATCTATGTTGCTAGTACTTTGCAGTGATCATTACTGTTGACAATGAAAACCTAAAAGATTCAATATGGTCTAAGGAAGAGTGCCTACTTTTAAAAGATTTTTAACAATGATTGGAAAGATTTATTTACTGGTTAAGACTATTCATTTGAGCATAATATCTTATCCCTCAACATTTTAATTAATTGAGGTTACAGTAATTTTATTAATGTTATAATCACATTTATATTTATGGCTCTTGGAGTTTAATCTGTGTACTTAGAAACTTAATGGAATCTGTGGTCTTACTTACTCATGGTCAAGTCTCTTAACTTTTCCTGTCTTGTTTTCCTCATCTTTTAAACAGAGGCATTGGGTTAGCTGTCCTACAATGTCCCTTCCAGCTCCATCTGTAATCCTATGTCAACCTATGTAGGTTATAGTATCTTCTTATCCTTTGTGATTCTTATTTGATTTTTCCATTAATCCTTCATGGAGGAGCCACTTGATGCCCTGGAAGCCTTTATCTAGTTCCTTTTTTTTTCTTTTTTTGGCAGTTCCCCAGGTAAAATGTTTGTTGTCCATCTGTTTTCTCTTATTCTTACTGTATGACCAGTCTGCTTTCTTTCTTGTTCTTGCATATCCTTAAAGATATATTTTCTGCCATTTTTTTCACCCAAGTTCTGGAGTGGGCCGTGCTCAGACCGGTGCCAATGGTGACTTAGTTTCAATTTAGAACAAAATGAGACACCTCTTAGTCATACCATAGTTAACAAAAAAGAGATGTATAGCATAGCAGGGGAAAGATATTCAACAATAATAGACACCTCAAGTATATTTCAGCTCAGTAAAAATCTTCATGATACACAAGGCAGGCCTCTGAGAGCCTTTGGAGTTCCTCTGGCTGCTTTGTAATCAGGTTTGAACCATTAGTCCTCTGAATCTACCAAGTCCCAAGGATGGGCTTGATACCTTTGATACCTTTTAAGGAAAAACTAGCCTAATTAATATATGAGAAAGAGTTAGACATTGTTTCTATCGCACAAGTCATTGATAAATATGCTACAAATTACATGTGGCAAATGTATGTCTTCCTGTTGGTCTTGAATTTTTTTTTTAACAAGGTTTCCTGGGTTATAAGAGCATTGAAAATTTTGGATTCGATAAAAACAGTGTAAAATTTCCCATATGCAATCAATAAATCAACAGGTATTTATTAAGCATATACTGCATATAAGCATATACCAGGCACTGTGCTAGGTGCTGGGAATACTAATATAAAGAACGAAACAATTTATGTTCTTGAGGAGTTTGCATTTTATTAGTGGAAACGGGTATAAACAGAATAAATGTAAAGAAAATAGATATGTCATTATTATGTAGTTAAATGCAGTGTATTTGGGGGGAAGGAGCTAGTTATTACGGGCATCAGGAAAGGCTTCAGTTAGGAGGTGCTCCTTTAGCTGTCTTGAAGTGTGTATGTGTGGGGAAATTTTAAGGTAGAGGTGAGAGGGAAGTGCATTCCAAGTATATTGGTTGTCCAGTGCAAAGGCATGATAAAGGAGATGAAATTTTTGTGAAGAATACAGAAAAGACTGATTTGGTTAGATACTAGAGTGTGATAGGGAAGAGTACTATATGAGGGTACTAAAAAGTTAACTTGGGGCTAGGTAGTGAGGAACTTGAGAAGTTAAAACAGAGGACAGGTTGTGGTGGGGCACACGTGCAATCCCTGCTTCTGGGGAGGCAGATGCTGGTGGATCTCTTGAGCTTGATAGTTCTGAGATGCAGTGTGCTAAAGCCCATTGGGTGTCTGCACTAGTCCAGTAGCAAAATTGTGAGCTTCTGGGATCATGTGGCCACTAGGCTGTCTAGGGAAAGGTGAACTGGTCAAGGTCAGAAAAAGCTAGGATAAGTATCTATACCAGTCACTAGTAGATCTTTTTGAGTGACTGCCGCACTTACAACCTAGGGAAGTTCTGCCCTTCTCCCTTTCATTTTTAAACCAACCCTCCACACTCCCCATCCCCAGCAAACAAAAAAGAGAACAGGGGTTTGTTTACATTTGATCCTAAAGCCACTGAGTGTGAGTAAGGCATTACTCCTACTACATGGTTAGATTTGTACTTAAGAAAAATTACTTCGGCAGCTGGATCAAGAATGAATTGAAAGTGGGGGGAGGCTTAAAGCCAGGAGTCCTTAAGAGAAGGCTCTTGGAGTAGTCTATACAAGAGATGATGATGGTCTGAACAAAGATGTGAGTAGAGAGGAGTCAGATGCCAGAGATGATATGGAAGTACAGTGGTAAGACTGACGATTCAAAATACATGGAGTGAGGGAGAGTGAAGAGTCAAGGATAATACCAGTGTTAGAAATTGGGAGACTAGGAGAATGCTGGTATTTCTCGCTCCAGTGACACTTGACCACCTTGTTATTTCTGGGACAAGAGACTCTCCTGACCTTTTTGGGCATTTTCACTGAATGTCCTTCATGCTTGTAATGTTCTCCTTCCTCAGTGCTGCCTCTTGATTTCCCTGGCTTCCTTCAAGTCCCAGTAAATCCCATCTTCTAAGAGAAGCCTTTCTTGATCCCTCTTAATTCTAATGCCTTCTTACTTCTGTTAGATTATTTCCAATTTGTCCTGTATATAGCTTGTCTGTACATCGTTATTTACTTTTTGTTTCCCCCATTAGGCTGTGAGTTTCTCTGGAACAGGGGCTATCTTTTAACCTTTCTTTGTAGTCCCAGCACTTAGCACAGTGCCTAACATATAGAGAGTAGGTCCTTAAGAAATATTGACTGACTGGTGTCATTGTTAGAAACAGGGATATTCTGAAGACGGGGATGAGGTTGGACGGGGGTAGCGGGGGAAGAGGAGAAAGATAAGTTCTGTTTTGTACATGCTGAGTTTGAGATGTCTTTGGAATATCCATTTTGAAATGTTCTGCTAGGTAGTTGATGATAAACCTTTTCTTTCTTCAGTTTTAGGCCCAACTCTGTGTTCAAATCAGCTACCATTTCCCTCCTCATCAAAGCCTTCCAAACATAACATTTTATTTATTACCTCTAGAAATGCCTACCTGCATGTGGTTCTTATTTGTAACTGAATATTTGCTTGATAGGTTTACAAATGGTGTTATCAATAACTCTGTGGTTTAGTTTTCATCTGGACAGATGGTTGAGTTAAAATGGAGTAAGAATTCAAATTTAAAAATTAATATCACATTGCACATTAATTGAAAATCAAATACACATTTAATGGTATGGAAGATATAGTTCGTTTTTAGTGTTTTTAGTCTGATTTTTTTATTACTGATTTGATTTTTGGTTACTGTTATTCTTTATAAAGATATCCATGATCAATAGCTGATATACAGGTTGGTTCACAGTGATTTATATTAACATGACCAAAATCTAGTTTTTGGCATTATAAATATAATATATCTGGCAAATTTTGCACAAATATTAATTCTTACTCCCCTCCCCCATTTTTTTTTCCAGTAAAATCAAACAGGGTCTTCTACCTAGCCTGGAAGATTTGCTGTTCTATACCATTGCAGAAGGGCAAGAAAAAATACCAGTTCATAAATTCATTACCGTAAGTTGTCTGTTCCCCATCTTTTGTATACTTGTATACATCTTGTATACTTCATTGGTAGTCCTAGGTCATGTAATTGAAATGTTTTAATGGCCTTCTACATTTGGCTTCTGACAGTTTCTTACTACATTTTTGTTTTCATGATTTTCTTATCTTCTTTTTCAAATAACCAATAAAGCAAAAATCAAACCATGAATAACTGTATGGAAATTTGGTAACAATGAATTAACACTCTTTGTTTAAAAAAAATTAATAAAATGAAGGCATTTTTGTGTATTGAGATAAAAATGTGTAGTAAGAATGAACGTTCAAATTATCTAGGATATGTGTTTACAGATTCTTTTTTTTTTTAATAGGCACTGAAATCTACAGGATTGCGAACTTCTGATCCCAGGTTGAAAGAGTGCATGGATATGTTGAGATTAACTCTTCAGACAACATCAGATGGTGTCATGCTAGACAAAGATCTTTTTAAAAAGTAAAAATTTGGTCAAAACTTTAATGAGCAATTTATTATGCTACATATAATTAACTATATAAAATTGTTTTTTAATTGTGTCTTTTTTGAAGATTGATGCTTTTGTGTAATTAAAAAAGTAGATATGAAATCTCATTTAAAGAAACAGCAAATGACAACAGCACAAAAAATTACATTTATGGTGCTTGGAAATTGAATTAATTTAGAGCATATAATAGTCTTATTCATCCTGTCCCCACTTACCCAGATTGGTTTATCTGTATCATATCTTTTTATCCTTATAATCTTGCCCCCTAGTAATAGCCAGATTTCAGGAAGGACCCATTTTTATACATATTTATTGTGCCTACTCCTGATTATCTGCGCATGTGAAATTAGTTATATTGTAATGAAAATACTGTTTTATTTTTAAAAATTATATACTTTAGGTTTGATTAGCTTGTATGAATGTTTGATTTGTCATAATATATCTTTGTACCTTTTGGTTATTCCCAATTTTAACTTCCACTAACATGTTTTTAGTTTAGTTTTGTTGTGAAATTACTTACTGATGAGATATTCCCTAAAAGGCACAAAAGTGTTATAAGATGCAAAAAGTATGAAAGGTCTGATAGCAATCTGACATTTCTGAGAACTACTGAAAACTGTTTGTGAATGTTTATAAACTGCCTTCCCTGAAAGTCTGTTGGTATCTTGGTAAAGCCTAAGGAATTTGCTCATAAAATCATTGGTCATCTTTGGTTTATTCATTGAATCTTATGTTTTCAGATGTTCTGGTTACTATGTGGAATATCTTAAGCCATTTAGTCAGGGACTGTTTTTTCCCTTTTTTGTGTGTCCCTGGTACTTAGCACAGTTCGTGGCACAGAGTAGGTGCTTAATAAATATTCATTGTTGAATAACTGATTTTTGAGGTATACTCAGGGTAGTCATAGAGTCTAGAGATTTCTGTATTTTGTTGATGTGATTTGGAAAATAGTGTTGTCTTGTATGTGGAAACTGCCTCTAAAGGGTAGTTTGTAAAACCTGTTCTTATGAGTGGGACTTGGAATTTTGAGGCCCCAAAACTGCTTTGTACAGGTGGTTGACTCACCAGAAATATGCTTTACATATGTGTAGCACTTTTTTCAACAAGCTGTAGCTTCTGAGGAACTTGAGTAATGTAATATGACTTTACAACATGTATTTAATTCTCACAGCGCTCTTGTGCATAGATAGGGAAAGGCTGATTTTTCCATTTTAAAGATAAGAAAACTGCCCAGAGTCACATCTAGCTGGAGAGTTGGAAATTGCAGATATCCTGACTGTTAACTTATCTCTGAGGATTAAATATGACATTAAGCTATTTACCAGTCTTGTTTGTACTATGTACTATTTTCAGTTTTAATTTTATGTTAATAGAGAGAGCTCTTTTGATCAGGGTTTTGAGAATAGAAAGAGTTAACATGTTATTTCTTGTGTAGAGTAAGACTTGATAAAAATAAGGAAAATAGTTGCATACTGAGTATATGTGGCCCTGTTTAATACAGGGTGTTCTTGTATGAGGTTAAAGTTTTTTCTTAGGCTTGATTATCTTAGCATTTACCAAGCTAGCGTCTTGTTAGAAGGAAAAAGCAGTGTTTGGCCGTTTAAGAATGTTGGTTATTAACTCTTCCCCTGCCCCCCAACCAAACTGATTAATTTAAAAGTACCAAATAGATCAACAGCTTAGTTTTTTGTAGAAAATGATTTTTGGTATCACTTGTGGTATCACTTGAAAATAAAGTAAGGTGGATTTTATAGATTTATATCATGAAGGAAATATAAATTTCATTTTTGGAAGAAGTTAATGTTTTAAAGTTAATGCAGTTATTTGACATTCTTTCCTCATTGATTTTGTAACAAGTGAAAAATTTATTAACTAAATGTAATTGAAATAAGTATTTTGAATTATTAGGAGATAGATCAAATACAGGATGTTTGGAATCCTAATCACTAAAACATCAAACCTTAGAGGTTTGTATTCTAGTAAAATGATAAGAATGTAAATATAAATTTTACTTTTTAAATTAAAAATAGAAAAATTTTAGTAAAAATCAAATGGACTTGGATCTAGGTCAATGTGAACCTAAAATATTGGGTTAACTAAATCTTTAAATCTGGAAAAAGATGGTGTTTTTTTTTCCAATTCTCAAATAATTTCTCATCAGATTTAGTTACAAAGAAAGAAAATATTTCTTAGCTTATGAATGTAAAATCTAGTGTTTGGTAATGGTAAAAAAAAAAAAGCCAAATTGCAATTTTTACAATATGTGATGCATGCAGATGCCTAAATGATTAACTGTTACCACTCTTTAAAACTAGGAAATGTTTGTTTTTTGGTTGACCTTTATCTCTAAATAGTTTTTATCAGAAGAATAGGGAAGAGGAAGAACAGTTGCTATATGCCATCTCTTAGCTAACTTTTTGGCCTCCGTTACTAACAAATTGAGTTTGGTACTGAGTGTAAGGAGTAGTGGTGAGAAAATGAGCAGAGGATATGCATAACCTACTGTGACCTGTTTATAAAACTTTTAAAACTTTTCTAAAAGGTTATGTGAACATATTATCTTATACTTCTGAGCTTTACCTTGTTTTTTAAATCGTTACTGAATTTTTCTACCAAGCGTTTCAGTAAAGTTAAAGTTAAAATAAATCCTTTTTAAAAACTTGATCATAAGTTTTTATCTTCTCTGTAGTAATTTTATCTTTTCTTGCTTAGAAATTGAGGTTTTTCCAGCCATTTTAAATTTGAGGTTTAGTGGAATGTTAACCTCATTCAAGCCACAAGTCTAAATTTTCTGAAATGTCAGCAATTTTTAGAATAATAAAGTATAAGATCCACAGTTTTAATTAGTATTGCCATTTTTGTCTTCATGTATAATTCTCAATCTTTACTGCAACTTTATTTAAAATTTATTTTTTCAAGTGAGTACATGAAATGACAAAGTGCATGAAAGAATATGTGTTAAAGTACTATATTTTTATTAATGTTCTAGTAGGAGCATAGCATTACTATTTTTTTTTCTCTTCCACAGATGTGTTCAAAGCAACATTGTGCTGCTTACACAGGCCTTTAGGAGAAAGTTTGTCATTCCAGACTTTATGTCATTTACTTCACACATTGATGAATTGTATGAAAGTGCTAAAAAACAGTCTGGGGGGAAGGTAAGTTTGTTATGTAACTTTACTTAATGGCACTAGTAAAAACCTAGATTGAACTTGAGATAAAACATAGGAAAAATTGTTCAGCTTTATGATTTATTAGAAAGTAAAAAAGTTAGAAGATCACTGTACTTGGTGTTTAATATATCATTATACTTTTAAAAAATTCAGATTGAGGCCTCCCTGACTCTGAGGCCAACAGTATCACATTACCTATATACTCTCAGCTTTTTCAAATGATTCCCAAGTAATTAGGACATTGGCTTTTTTTTCCTGTCTTTTTTTTTTGTGTGTGTGAGGCAATCAGGGCTTAAGTGACTTGCGTGGGGTCACACAGCTAGTATGTGTCTGAGGCTGGATTTGAACTCAGGTCCTCCTGCCTCCAAGGCAGGAGCTCTTTCCACTGCATCACCTAGCTGCCCTGACAATGGCATTTTAAAAACTTTGATATTTTAAATTATTTTATCTTGGAAATTTCTAAAAAAAACCCATATCATAACTGATTTTTTTGAACTGTACATATTTTGAACAAATGAAAGAATTTTAAGAATTTTTTAAAATATTGGGTTAAAATGTATAATTGCTAAAGAAACTCCTAGTAATACTGGGCAGCACCTTGTTGTCTGGGACACTGAGAGGTTAAATTAATAAATCCAAAATTCATCAGAGGTAGGTTGAGACTCACTCTGTATTCACTATGCTTATGCTGCCTTTAATTGATTATTATATTAAATTCTTGTATTAATGATAGCTCTGAAATGTAACACTTGATTTTATAATGCAACGTAATGCAATAGATTCTTATTGCAGTTAATCCTATTTAGAAATCCTAGTTTTGTTTTAGTTGTACATTATGGCCAAGTGATAACTTTAGGACATGCTCTTAATACATACTGCATTTGTCAACTCTCCAGTCAATGAAAACTCCTTTCTTTCACTCCCATCCCCAGTTGAAAAAGAAAGAAAAACAAACCCCCTGTTACAAACATTTATATTCAAGCCAAACAAGTCCCTGTATTGGTCATGACTCAAAAAAAGTCTCCTGCACTCTGAGTCTTTCATGTTTCTATCAGGAGGTGGGTAAAAGGTTTCATGATGGATCTCTAGAATCATGGTTGGTCATGCTGATAAGATTTACTAAGCCTTTCAAAGTTGTCTTTTTAATGTTGTCATATAAATGGTTTTCCTGGTTCTGCTCACTTCAGTCTATATTGGTTCATACAAGTCTTCCCAGATTTCTCTGGAATCACTCCCTTCATAATTTCTTACAGTGCAGTGAATAATTCTTCTTATAGTGGAATTTATCACATTTATATACCATAACTTGTCCAGTCATTCCTCAATTTATGGGTACTCCTTCAGTTTGTAATTTTTTGCCACTACAAAAAGAAGAGTTTTTTTTCTTAGAACTAATCATTCTTTCTTATTTCCCCTTCTTCAGTGTCCCTCTTCCTTTCTGTATCCCTGTTGAGTGAAATTTATTTCTGAACCCTACTCTGTGTGTGTGTCTCTCTCTCTGTGTCTGTGTGTGTGTCTCTGTGTCTGTGTCTGTTTGTGTGTATATATTCTTCTTTTAGGATCATCGTGACATAATAAAACCACTCCCAGGCCTTCCATCTAATTAGGGCTCCCTCTATGACCCCTGATGACGATAGTGGTCAGAAGGGACACATGTACCATCTTACTATATTATAATTGAAACAGTTGATTCTTGTTTAGTCCTTTATCATTAGTCATTCATATTAACCTTTTTGTGTTTCTCATGACTCCTCTGCACTTCAGAATTTCTATGCAGCTCTGGTCTTATCAAGAATTCTTGGAAATCCTCTTTTTCATTAAAGTTCTGTTTTTTTCCCCCTATAGGATCCACTTTGGATCTATGACTGGGAACTGGGTGGTGAGTGACAGAGCTGTCACTTGGCACTTATTCCTGCATCCTACACAAGTTTAGATCCCTATGCTGTATATGAGATCTCTCCTTGCCCTGATGCGCAGCCTCTTCTCATGCTAGAATGTTCCATATAGAGGGCTCTTGGCCAGAAATTGCATTTCGTATGTTTCCTGACCTCTCTGTCTCCTTACGCTGACCCGGGCTAAGAAAATGACTTACTATGATTTTTTCCTCCTTGGATTCCCCAGTCAGGATTCATTTTGGTATGTTTCCTAGCTCTGGTTGGAGTTTAAGAGGGGAAGGGATATAAGGGGATGGAGCTCACTATACTTCTTCCTGCTACTCTTCCATCTCATTTTCACCTTAGAGAAAGGGTTTTGTTGTTGTTGTTGTTGTTGTTTTGTTTTTGGTGAGACAGTTGGGGTTAAGTGACTTGTGCAGAGTCACATAGCTAAGTGAGTGTTATGTGTTTGAGACTGGATTTGAACTCGGGTCCTCCTGACTTCAGGGCCAGTGCTCTATCCACTGTGCCGCCTAGCCCCCGCCCTCTCCCCGAAAGGTATTTTCAAAATCACCTGTTATAGTTTACAGCATGGGAGAAAGAGTGTCTTTATTGACAGAAAAGGTGTTCATTGTTGCAGAGTATGCATATTATTTGCCTGCATTATAACTTTACATTCCTGGGTCTTAACTAAGCTTCTCATTTCTTGCCAATGTATTGGTTTAGGTTGCTGATTACATCCCTCAACTGGCCAAGTTCAGTCCAGATTTGTGGGGAGTGTCAGTGTGTACAGTGGATGGACAGAGGTGAGTTTATTTTTAAATAAATCATTTTTTTGTAAATGTCTAAAAATGTTTTGAATATTTTGAAATTTTCTAATTTGTTGCAACATTTGTTATTTGGATGGTGAAATGATGGCTTCTGAAAATCTTACTTCATCGTGGCTTTTGATATAGGATACCTTAAAAGTATGTTGGTGTTCAACTGCAAAAAGGAAAAGTGCTATCTGACTGAATTTCTCAAAAGTGGTCACCAGTATATGTGTATTTTTGGACATCATGAAAATTAAATCTTTAATCCTGATAATTTTGTTACAAGTAACTTTTCCTTCTGATTCAGAAGCAGAAAAGTAGTCCTGTTTCTTTACTAGATATTTGCATAAATATAGCTTGGGGCTGGCTATATGTTTAAATTTGTTATTAGAAAGTAAATCTTATATGTTTGAATAAATGTGTGTAATGTATATGCATTCTGATCATTCTAATTTTATGTTTGTATTTGTGGAGTAAAACCAATGTTTTATGTAGTCATTACTTTTATACATGTAAAAAATTGTTTCTTGATGTTGAAATGTTTTCATTTTCTCTGAAAGCTTCTTAAAAAAAATTACATAGGTTATTAAATCAGAAGAATTCTTTCTGTCATTAGCCATTAAGAAAACATGAAAGTAATCTTAGTGATATCTAGTTCATTTTTTAAAAACTAAATTTTCAAAACTAAATTTTGTGTGACTTAATGGCGTGATATGTAGATAAAAGAATCTTTTAAATGCTAAGATAATGAACTAGGTTTTTACTCTATGAAAAGTAAAATCTTTTGGATATCTCAAATTTCTTTAGAAAAACTTAAACAGTAAACATACCTTATGTTGGCTTGTATGTATCCTTTTTTTAAAACCACATATTTTGGAACACCCACCCACACATATATATGTATATATAAAAACATATATAACACTTTATATATTTAAAATGTGTTACTCTGACCTTGTTGAGGGTGTCTGATAGAATTTGATGAATCCCTATTCATACTATAAGTCATAATATTGGAGAAGCTGATGCTTTCATTGGGTATATGTAATGAAAGATTTTTTCACTATTAGCCAAACTGAGGATTTCATACATTTTGAGGAAGCTTCCTCTGGGAATTCAAGGAATTAAAATCAAGGTCTTGGTATCGGGAGGTTCCTCGTATTCAACTCGGTGTGAACCTAACAAAACAGGATTTTATTTAAAAAATATGACACCATTGCTTTCATGGAAAAAAAAGTACCATTTTTCTAATAGTTCATTCATTGACTAGCAGTAATTTTTTAGTCTCTTAGTTGGTCTTCTTGGATGCTGAGCTTAACAGTATTATGTATCTGAATAAGCTTTAGTGAATCAGGGAACACACACAGAGAATTGTGTTTTCTGCATTGGTTTTCTTATTTCAGTAGTTTAGAGCCAAATGTGTCAGTTTAACATACTACTTACAAATCAATTTCTAGTACTAAACATTGACCTGTACCTTTTTTTTTCTTTGTGAGAAGGTTTTTTGTTATTTTTTTTTTGTGCGATATAGAACTTAGAGGACTTTTTAAAAGTTTAGGAGTGAATCTAATAAAATATATAGTGTTTTAAAATTCACGCAGCTAATCTTGGATAATTTTCCCCCTTGGTGACTGCTTCTCTAGGGACACTTCCAGGAAATCCTCAACCATGCTTCACTTAACCTTCTCTTCTGTGGCTTCCTGCTTTCTGAACTCATTGCTGAAGTGTTCAACATGCACTCCTCTCTGTCTTCCTCAACCACCGCCCCCCCAATGAACCATAAACCCTATGTTGTAACATTTTACCATTGTTCCTGATGGAGTATGTCAGTCTACTCTTTCTCCTAGGGCCTTACTCACCATCCTCATAATCTAACAGTCCAGGCCCTTCCCTGGGCACCACTTCCTATTGTGTGTTTCTTCTGTTAGAAAGTAAGCTCCTTGAGGTCAGGACTGTCTTAGCTTTTATATTTCTATCCCTGTACTTGTAGGGTAAGGACTATTTCATTTTTGTCTTTGTATCACTAGCATATAGTATGGGACCTGTCACATAAATGTTCAATAAATGGTTATTGAGTGAGATATAAGCAAGAAGCTTCTGAGTAGGTTACAAGCCTTTGCTCTCCTTCATTTTTCAATCATGAGCCCTGTTCTCCAACATTTTTTTTTTATACGCACCTTCATATTGAAAGTCTCTACTTTATGATGTCTTTAGACTTGGTTTGTATGATCTTGTTAAGTTTTTCCTAGGACTTTACTTCTCTTCACTCCCTACAACAGAATTTGGCACAGAAGTCACAATTATCTACCTGGTCTTTTTGTTTAAAACATCTGAACACTGCAAATATCTCATGAAATTATGTTTTTTGTTGGCTTTGCGCACAGAATGAAATCTACTCTGCCTAGACATGAATTGGCATAGTCATTTTGGAATGCAATTTTAAATCAGTGTAAATTAAGTGGCTAAAATGTGCAGACCCTTTGATCCCAAGATTTGCTGCTAAGCATATACTAAAAGGAGGTCATAGATAAAGATTCCCCATATATACCAGAATATTTATAGCAGCACTTTTTGTGGTAGCAAAGAACTGGGAAACAAAGTATATGTACATCAATTATAGAATGGCTAAACAAATTGTGGTACATTAATGTAATGCAATATTAATGTGCTTTAAGATATGGCAAATATAATAAATACAGAGAAGCAATGAACTGTTGGCATGAGCTGATAAAACATGAAGTAAACACAGCCAAGAAAACAATATACATATTGACAACAACAATGTAAATATAAAGACAAACCACCACAAAACAATTGAAGTGAATATTGCAAAACTTTAAAGAGCAAGCTTGGCCTCAAAGAATAAATATGAGAAGATTCTTCCCTCCCCCCCCACACTTTTGGAGAGGTGGTATATCTATGCATGTGAAGCACTGCTTATATTACCAGATTTTTTGAGATATTTATGATTTCTTTTCCCCCATTTTCAAAAAAAAATTTGTCGTGGAATGATTTTCAGGGAAATGAGTAGGGGAAAAGATACATGGGAAATTTTAGATTGTGTAAAAAAAAATAATTTGTTTTTTTAAAACTGTGAGGTACTATGCAAATACCTGTTCTTTTTATTTCAAACCTTTGAGACTTTATGGTTTTTTGTTTTTCAAAATTAATAATTGAACTTTGGAACAAAATTAATCACTCATAGTATGCATTTTTTGTCATAGTTTAAAAGCTGCTTTTGGTAAAATGACCAGAATTTTTTTACTCTGGGATCTCTTTTCATTTCATATGCCTTCTAGTTTCACTATTTCCAATGTAAAATGCATGAAGGTAGTTGTAGCCAGTCTTGTATCCTTAGTGCAAACTCTAAAGTCATCTGATACTATTTCCTTTCATTGAATTGGAAAAGAAATAGGTGGGTAAAGTTGGAAGTTGTAGTTAAGGAGATATGTTGCTCTTAAGAAAGACTTCTCAGAGCTTTCTAATTCTTGAGCAGTTGTTTAGTCATTAGTTCTTTATTCCTCTTCACCTAGGTCATGGTAGTTGATCTGGTTAAGCACTTAAAAAAAAAAAGTCTGCCCAAAGACAAAGTTATTGACTCTTGCTCTGTTATATATGATCCAGTTGTGAATCATGCTTCCCTTTCTTGAGTAAATAAGATTTTGCCTATATGTATTGCTTCTGAAAATGAACTTGTTTTTTACAGTTATTCCTTAAGATTCATAATTGTTATAAAAGGAAAATGTGGTCTTTTAATTCAAGATTAATACATAAAAATGTAACAGTTATGCTATTTCATCTTAATTGGTTGCTATTAATTACTTTTTTTACCTGCTTTAACAAAAGGCATTCCATTGGAGATACCAAAGTTCCCTTTTGTCTTCAGTCCTGTGTAAAGCCCTTGAAATATGCCATTGCTGTAAATGACCTTGGGACAGAATACGTGCATCGATATGTTGGAAAAGAGCCTAGTGGATTAAGATTCAATAAACTTTTCCTGAATGAAGACGGTAAGAATCAGATAACAAAAGATGAGAAATTTCATTTTCCTGCATAATTCCAAGTAGTTATTACCTACCTTTTTAAGTAAGACTTCAGAGCTATTATACCTTAAAGACATTTGAAGTAATTAGGATAGATTGAAACATTGACTGTTTAAAATAGTGCTGTTTTTCTTCATAATGAGTTTGTAAACCACAAAAACCTCCAGTTCTTGGTCAGACGATTTGCTGTCCAGCCATACCTTCCCTAGCTTATACTTGCTCTTACACTTAAAATATCAAGCTTCACATGTACAAAGTGAGAGAGGGTTATGAGATAACAGTTCGTCTGGGAAATATCTGTTTTTTTATTGGACAAGTATAAGTTGACTATAACTCAGCAATGTATTAGGGCAATCAAGAAAGCTTTTGCAATTCTAGGTTGCATTAGGAGACATAAAGTATTCAGGCTAGAGGAATAATTGTTCTCATTGTGTTCTGCCCTGTCGGATTTGTGATTTTTGTGTTTAGTTCTGGATGCCACAATGTAGGAACAACTTTGATAAACTGAGGAGTGTTTAGTGGAGGGCAATATGGATGGCACAAGGCCTTGAGATCATGCCATAGGAGGATTTGTTGAAAAAAATGGACTTTTGATAGACAAGTTTTTTTGGAGGACAAGTTTAATGCAAAAATGATAGCTGTTTTGAGTATTTATTTGAAGGGCCATTACATGAAAAATGGAATAGTCTTCTTATACTTCTTGGCTTCACAAAGCATAACTGGAAGAAATGAGTAGAAATTTCCTGAGTGGCAAATTAGACTTTGTAGGAAAACCTTTGTGACAGAGCTATCCCAAAGTGAGATGAACGATTTCTAGAGAACTTCAAGCAAAGCCTAGATGACTTTGTCTGGTAGAATATAGAGGGTACCAATTGGATGTCTTCTGAGGTTTCTTCCAGTTCTGAAATTTGAGAATTTATACCCAGTATATTTGTTAAGAGTAACTAAAAGTGTCTGCCTAATTTCTTTTCTAAATTGAAACAAAAACAGCCTAAGTGAACACAATATTTAGGGGGGGTTTGAGGATAAAAAATTAACGTTTTGATATTTATTTTAAAAATAGCACCTTGCGTTTTCCTCTTCTGTAGCATTTAATGTTTGAAAATTTTTGATGCATTTAGTTCACAGAATTTAGCTTACTTTGCTGACTTCCAAAAGAAAAAGATCAGGAGAGATGGATTTCTATAATGTGTTGAATGTAAAAAAGACCCTTAAATAGGACAAAGATTGCTTACTGGCCATCCATTTTATAGAGTCTTTTATAATTGTAATTTTTGTTGAGGGATAAAATAATGATTTATTAACTTCAGTGGCTTAAATTTCATGTAGAAATCAGTGTTTGTGATAATGGAATAATATGAAACATTTTGGGGTTGAAAGTTATTTTTCCACAGTGCCAGAGTAGAATGATTTTCAGTGTACAGGGCAGCTGGTGGTGTAGTGATTATTGATGGTTTTATCTGGAGTCAGGAAGACCTGAGTTTGAATCCTCTGCTTTTATGACTGGGCAAATCAGCTAACATTATCTCTTAGTCTGTTTCCTTATTTGTAAAATGAGGGAAATAAAAGCACCTATCTCAATTGTTATGAGAATAAAACAAGATGTTTTTAAGTGCTTTTTTTTCTGCAGTGCTGTTCAATATTTGAATAACAGGAAATAGCAATACTTGAAGGTCATCGCCTCCTTAAAATGAGGAATTAATGTAATTAATGAGGAATTAATATTCACATAGTGCATTATGGCTTGCAAACAGCTTTGTGAACCTCATTTTATTTCATGAGGAAAGTATCACAGCTTTTTATATTTATTTTATAAATGAAGCCCAAGGGCAGCATATGGTTTACCCAGGGATTAGAATTAGTTAATCTCACAGATGAGATTTGAACCTATATTTCTCTTGACTCTTAGAATAATGTTCTTGTGAACTGCCTCTCAATGGAGAAAACACTGAATTACTGGGAGTGGGGTGGGGCGAGGAATGTAATATAGTAGTACGTTAATACATTAATGATAATCTCTAGAAGAGATGAATCCATTATTGAGATGTAATGCAGTTCAATAGAGAACATGCTGAATTTGGACTCAGAGAACCTGGGTTTGAATCCTGGCTCAATGAGACTCAGTCTCAGTTTCTTCACTGTAAGATGAAGAGGTTGGACTAGTTGTCCCTCAGCTTTAAAATGGGGATAATTAAACACCTACTTCCGAGAAACGTTGTGAGTATCAAATGAGATAATGTTTACAAGCACTCAGAACAGTACCTGGCACATAGTAGGTGCTTAATAAATGCTTGTTCCTTACCCCTTTCACCTTCTCTCTTAAGATCCATTCCAATTCTAAATCTATGATTCTTTGAACAGTGTTTATCTCATGGGGAGGTGTATGATTTTAGAAATTAGGTTTTCATCTGGTAAAATAATGTTTTATCGGCTATCATCCTTACCTGTAAAAGGAACTTTTTGCTAATCACAATTATGGCAGTAGCTTTTAAAGATTCTCAGTCAATAGTGATATACCAGAACTAATTGTTAAGCCGAGATATCCAGTAACAGAAATTTATTACACAATTTTAATGATTACTTGCCTTGCGTACCTTGACTTCCCTTACTTATCCATTTGAACTGTTTTAGTCCTATGATTTTAAGGGTGGTAGTTCAAGGATTCTTGGAGATGTTCTGAGGTTAAGTTTAGAGTCACCCCTCCCTCTTGTGTCCATATACTGAATTCTACAGTTTTCTTCGTATACTCAGAAGTTTGTGTGGAATTGTAACAATTGCAATATTTTGCATAGATATTGGGAAGGAAAGAAGAGAAAACTTTTTTTTTGTTTACGCTTTTTTTTGGTGAGGCAGTTGGGGTTAAGTGACTTGCCCAGGGTCACACAGCTAGTAAGTGACATGTGTCTGAGACTGGATTTGAACTCACGTACTCCTGACTCCAAGGCCAGAGCTCTATCCACCGTGCCACCTAGCTGCCCCAAGAAGAGAGAATTTTAGTGACTTGCACAGAATCACAGCTGGTCTGTGCCAGAAGTAGGACCTAGAACAAAGGCTTCCTGACTTCAAAGCCAGCTCTACTGCACCGGGCTGATGCTACGTATGATAATACGTGTAAATGACATCTTTCATTAAGAATTAATACTAAATATAAGTAGATGTTTAAGAAGATATTACAGAACATCATAGCATTTTGACAAATATGTAAGTAATTGAAAACCTACTTTGTTTTGTTAACATTGTACAAGAAATGGTGGGATTTACCTGGAAAGCAAAAAACAGTCTTTGTTAATGAGTTCACAGAATTGCCAACACATAAAAACACAACCTACTGGCATATGTGTCTAGACTTGTGGGTTTTTTTTTGCTGGCTGGCAACTCACCTGTAAGTTTTTGTTTTAAAGAGTTGTCTCAAGGCCCTTGAGATCTGGTAGATAGCCTCCTGAAATGTCAGTCCAGACCTTTTGCCTTGTTTGTTGGCCAGCTGCACAATGGAGATGAGATTATTTCCCCCTAAAGTGGAATTAGGAATACTCTTGGGAAACACCAAGCCTATTAGTGAGTGGGGAAAAACTGAGATTTCAGACCTAATTAGGAGCCAAGGGGTGCTCCCACTTGAGAATTTTAAAGCCTGTGTTATTAATTTTATTTTCACTGTAGTAAACTATCTAGAGGAAAAAAAATGAAAAATTGCCTAGGTTGACAAGTGAATTGTCCCATGGTTGCACATTTGGTATGTATCAAGACAGGACTTGAATCTGAATCTTCCTGACCCCAAAGGTAGTCTTTTATCTACTATCATGCCAGTTGACCGTCAGGGGAGTTTTATTTCTGGATCTCACATGCCAGCTTGGGTCCATGCAGACTCTGTTTGTGTCTCAAGCAGTTGGTCAATTCATATTACGATGGAATTTGGAGGGGTTGAGATGTGTCATGGTAATACTCCAAAGAGTACTGATCTTGGAGGCAGAAGATTTTGGTTTGAGTACCACTTCCAAGCCTTAACAGTTATGTGACACCCTGGGTAACTGAGCTAAGCTCCCTGAGCTTCAGGTTCCTTATTTATAAAATGGAGATCATAATATTCACGTTCCTTCAACATGGCTGTTAACAAAGTACTTTGTAAACCTTAAAGTACAGTATAAATGTGAGTTACTTTTCAAAGGAACAGAGTGGGTAACAGTGTCAAATGAGGACTAATAGAGTTTGAGGGAAATGCTAATTGGTTATCCCATGAATATTATGTATATCTATCTAGAAGCTAACATTGAAGGGGAAGTCATCCTGGTTTGTCCCTGTTCAAAAAGTAAATGAGGAATCTTAGCAGTGTAGATAATTGCTTGCATTTAGACCAACCTGGCTGACTTAACGATAAGGTTTGAGTGCTTCATAGGATCATGTAATTGTCATCTCTTTCAAACCTTACATTTTTACAGATTGAGGAAACTGAGGTTCATAGAGATTCAGTTACCCTGATAGTAAGTAGTAAATGGCAGAGCTGAGATTTCGACCAGATCCTCTGACTCCATATCCATATTTATATGATACTGTGTTTGCATTTTCCTGTTAATATTTTCCTTCCTGTGATTAGTGTTTTCAAATCTGACCTCAGACACTTATTAGTTGTGTGACACCTGAGCAAGTCACTTAACTCTGTTCGCTTCAGCTCCTCATCTGTAAAGTGAGCTGGAGAAAGAAATGGGAAACCATTCTAGTATCTTTACCAAGAAAACCCCAAATGGGTCACGAAGATCTCGGACGTGACTGAACAGCAACAACAACATTAGGTATCAGTGTGAGGCAGGAGAAAGACTACTAGGCTTCGGTTCCTAATGCGTAAGATGTAGGTGTCCTCCAAGAAATCTGTCTCTTAGGTTAGAACTCAAGGTGACTGAGAGGGTCAAAAATCTTACATTCTAAGAATTTCTGAAATATCAACTTGATTTATTCAGATCTATGTGTACATTCAAAGAACACCAGAACATACTGTCCTGGGAAGTATATGCATATATGCATTAAAGATTTGTTTTTATAATTTCACAGATAAGCCTCATAATCCTATGGTGAATGCTGGAGCAATTGTTGTAACTTCGTTAATAAAGGTAAAATGTTGGCATTTCTTTTTCCTATATTTGCTCTCATTATTTTCAGTGATTATAGGTTATTAAAAAGAATCCTTCATTGTTTACCATAGCTGTGAAATCAAATAGTCTGTAATTTTTGCTTTGACATTTAAAAAGTAAATATTTAGGAGTGTTAGAGTTTTCTGTTTAAATATAAACAATACACAAATGTCAATAGGAAAATTTTTAAAGGAACCTTCTGTAAAGACGGTAGTTTTCTGTTGGTTCCTTCATAATGTAATAGTAAAAGACCCAAGTTGAAATATTTTTTCCCTTAATGTTCTGACATGTACTTTCTCTTCCATTTGGATTTTATATAGAAGGAGCAGCTTTGGATAGGGTTAAAGTTCTTTATTATAATGTTTGTCATTAGTTTATATGTGACAAATAGTCTGTCCTTTCCATTTATGCCAAAGTGCATCTATTTAGTAAGGTTCTCAATCTTCTCAGTCTTGTAAGATGAAGTTATAATTGTGATTGAATGTATATCATTTGTTTCACTTTTCCATAGCTAGTAGTGACAGTGCATATTCTAATTATGAACATATTTTTTTAAGTTTTAAATATAAAAATTAAATTTTTTGAGGTTTGATTTCTGTAAGTACTTGTAAGCCACATCATTATTTTGGTAAAATTATTTAAAATTGATTTTCATTTATAATTGTGTATAAGTTGTTGTTTGAATTTCCATTTGTACCAAGCTACTGTCATTTAACTTTGGAACATTTTGGTCAGCACATCTGTTTGTATATCTGAAGTTTGAAATAAGTCACACCACATTGCTATGAATGGGGTATAGAATCATTTTGCTTTGTTTACATGAGAAAGTGTTTTAGCATGAGTCATGCCCTTTACTACAACTTATAAAAAGCCAATTTAGTCATTTTTAGATTACCACTAGAATTATGCCCTGCTCTTCCATTTTTAATTGGCTATGCTCAGGAGGGAAAAGAACCCTTGTAAGAGATTTAGCTTTATATATTATTCTTAATTATCATACTAAAAAAAAAAAGACGTTGTGCATGTGACTACTCACAGTAGTCAGATTGTTAAATGCTATTTTGTGTGTCATAAAAATAACCTTCATAATAAAAGTCTTTAATACTTTAAATACCCTATCTAAAATGGGGTTTGATCAAAAGTTGTACTAATGGTCTCTTAAAATGAGAACTACAAGTTAGAGGTTAGAAAATTTATCATGCTAGGTGATACCTTTAAGGCTTGATGACAAAACCAGTAGAGACAATAACATAGTAACCTAGGGTAGAGTTTATGCAAGTGATTGTTAAAAGACTTTAATTGCTAAATTTACTTTTATTTAATGATTTTTGGGTTTTCTTTTACTGCTTTGAAGCCTTGCATGTAGAAATTGCATGTTTGATTATCATATTATACTGTCATTTCATTACTTTTTTTTAGTGACACCAGACTAAGTCTGGAATCAACTAAACTATTTCTAATATGAATACTTAAAGCGTAAAGTAGAAATAATTGTATAGTTTAAAGTCTTGTAGTATAAAAAAGCCTTAATTCTACAAAGAAATTTGCTTAGCAGTTTTAAGTAGAAAATGCACCTAAAAATAAGGATTTGGACTAAGGATTTTTATATTCAAAGCAACTTTCTATTATGTTTTACTTAATTAGAAGTATATTGCAGCACAGTAGTTAACTTGGAGGGTTATTTTAGAGAAAAATCCTTAACCTTAAAATAACTTTTTATGTTAAAATTGTGACCTAACAATTCAGTAACGTTTTCCTGGTGCCTGTTTGATGAAGAATTCAAAGCTTTTACAGAAAATCTTAGTGTATTATACCTGTGGGATGATCTGTTGTATAATTTTAGACTCTGATATTTTAAAGTTGAAGTCAGAGTTATAAAACTGGAAAAATTTTGAGGTTTTCTAAGGTCTTTTCTAATATAAAAATCCTGTAATTTTAGTTGGAATCTCTCAATATATGAGGAAACCAATGCCGTCTAAATTTAAGTGCACGTAATTGGGGAGCTAGTTTTCTTAGGGGACAGACCTGGGACAAGGGCTGGGCCTCCTGCGTTCACATTTTGCTGCATAATTATATTTATTTTTTCTTGAAGATGAACAACTTTGCCCTAGCTACCTTAATTAATATGAATAGAATTTACAAAGTCATGAATGGTCGAAGGGCACCATTTCAGTGGAATTAAAAAGTATATGGACAGATTTCTTAGAAAATTGTAATTTATCCAAATATGATAATCAGGGCCATTAATAGTGATAAATGTGCTTTTTAAGGTTAATTTTTCTGTGTATATAGTTTGTAAGAGAATCATTTTGACACAGAATGCTTCAGTATTTTGCTGTTAGCATGACTTGTGAACTAGCTCATTTTTTTACTCTTTTAGATAATATATTAGAAGAAAAGTTAAAGCCTTAATTTGTGATGTCTTCTTAATTTCAGACTTTCTTATAGTGCTCTTTGCTCCATATTCCCTTATGTTGCTTCAAAATTTTAAAGGTGGAGTCTTACGTATGACTCTTTAGATTACACTTTTGTAGTATTGATATTTTTTCCTTGTAGGATTGGTGGTGATCTCAGGAAATGGGGGAAGAGGCAAAGGAATTGTTCAAAAGGATTAGCAGATTGTGGAAAGAGGAGAATTTGGACAGAAGGAACCTGTTGCATATATACTTAACTACTAAGCTTATAGGAAAACTCCAATTTTTAAAAATTTAAAACAAAGCTTACATAGGTAAATACTTTTTAAAAACAAATGTAATCTTGCACTTAAAATTCACATCATTAAGTTTTTAAAGGTGTTAACAGTTACTTTTCTTTTCTTGGGGGATAACAGTTGGTCACTGTGCGCATTATTACACTTGAATGTAGTCTGTTTCGTTTGATCTCACATGTCTTTGCCTGGTTTTAAGTGATTTGGAAAAGCAAGAGAGTTTGAAAGAAGATACTCCCATATTTGTGACAAAATTAACATTTTAAAGATATACTCATAGGAAATCTTTATGGCCTAGTTTGAATTTACAAGTGTAACTGTGGAAATAACTTGGTGGGGAAAGGGGCAACAGTTGTCAAAGAAATTTGGAACACAGTTGTCAACTTCTCCTGCTTTTCCTATTAAAAGTTAAAAGGGAGTTGCCTAGTCTTGTTATGTCACTTACTACTCCAGTAGTCTCAAGATTTTATTTTTATTATTTCTGATGTTTACTTATTTAAATGCTGATTTAGCTTTTTAAAAAACAAGATAGATACTTTGGAATTAAAAAAAAACATTGGAGTTTTCCTTAATTTAAAAAAAAAACATATATATGTGTGTAATTACAGCTTATTTTGCAGGTGCCCTTAAGCATATCACAAAAATTGAATTAGAAGTTTTGTCATGCTAGCAATATCCTTTTAGGCTTGCTTGTGTTACCTAGTTTTAAGGTCATTTGTGGCTCCAAAGCGTAATTGTAAATACATTGGACTTGGTGCTCCTTGATATTAGTAGTTATAGATCAGATAACAGAATTTATCAAAAAAATCATTTTTCTCTAATTTTTTTCCTTTCATTAGGGATAATCAGCAATAACAATAATTCATATGACTTGTAATTTTCTTACTTGTGATTGTAATAGCTCCTTTAACTTTCCCAGTAATCTTTGGTTTCAAGGCATTCTCAACAAGAGAGCTAAATTGATAATATGGTTATTTTATTAAACCATTTCAGCATTATCCTCCTACCCTTCTTGCCTGAATGCCTCTTTTCCTGTCTTCTTGGATTGGTTTTTAAACCATGATATATAGGATGGCTTGTTGCATTAGGTATTGGAATCAGGTAGCTCATTTAGAGAAGGAAAAACAAACTCTTTTTAGTTAACTGATTTTATAAATGGACCATCCTATATATTAAATTGGTGGAAGCTGCTCTTTTTAAGTGCAGTTTCATAGTCATCTGATGTTATTTTCCGCATCAATATATAGTAGAAGCCCCTTGTAACATCCTTTATTTATAAGAAGTATTTAGGTATATTATGGGTTGGATTATGTTTCCCAAAATATATACTAAAATAAACAGTTGATTTAACACCTTAAGCTCCAGTAGTTACAAATGGGTTCTACTCTACTCTATATCATCTCTTTGCTTTTTCAAAATTGACATGGAAAGTTAACTCTCCCTTTAGTTCCTTGTCATAATAATAAAACGTCTTTATACTGTACTGTATAATTGCAAAGTGTTTCGTTACCCATGCATGATGTTCATGATAGCTCTCTGAAATAGGTAGTACAAGAGTAACTATCCCCATTTTACAGGTGAGAAAAGTGAGATTCAGAAAACTATTACATGGCTAATGAAAATCTCAAACTCAAATCTTCTGACTGACTACATGTCCAGTGACCATTATGCTATGCTACGCTGTCTATTTGTAGTTGATAGTTGTTGCTAGAGGTGTGAATCTGGATAATGTGGTACTACTGTGTGTTTGAGGTTAAGATGAGAGTATATGCCAATTTCCTGTGAACTACAGAAAGTATTTTGTGTACTCTATATTTTAAACACCGCTTGAGAAGTTAATTAGGAAGTTGGTTAGATTTTCTTGAGTTTCTTTTGTTGATTTCACTTTTTCCTCAAGTACTTAAATTTTCGTGTACACAATTAAGAATCACTCAGGCAGCTAGGTGGCACAGTGGATAGAGCGCCGGCCCTGGAGTCAGAAGGATCTGAGTTCAAATCCAGTCTCAGACACGTAACATTTACTAGCTGTGTGACCCTGGGCAAGTTACTTAACCCCATTGCCTAACCAAAAAAAAAAAAAAGAATCACTCAAGACTTCATAAATTTAAAGTAGCATCTTTTCAAGAGTACTATAAAAAATGCACGTGTATTTATACCTTTTCCATAAAAACATTGACTTTTAAAAAAAAAAGTAGAGCTAAATGACTAATACTAAGCTCTTATTTTTAATTAATATTGGGATTCATATAGGACACAAAAATTTCTAGCCAGTGTAGTTTTTCAAGTTAACAGAGATGAGGAAATTCAGAGTTGATCTAGATACATATGTTGTAGGGATCCCTTTTGTCGTTTTAGACATAATGCTTACTGTATAAATATACTTTGTATTTATTTAGAAACTTCTTTCATGTTTATGTGTATATATCTCTAATAAAAGAATGATTGTGTGTGTAAATATATAATGCATACACAAAAGCATGTACATAGTCTATATGATATATACACATAAGCATGCATATGGTAAATGTAAAAATATATTTTTATTTGTGTATATATGTTTATATATACACATATACATGTGTATATACATGAACACGTATGTTAGGATGAAACCTGCATGTATATTTTCCTTAAGTGTACAAAATTTAATCTGAAACATAAGAAAGTTAACCACCCTGCCCCCCTCTCAAAAAAAAAAAAGACATCCAAAACCTAAGCTACAGTTTTGCCAATCTGTTATAATTTAAATGGGGAGAATTGCACAAAATGAGTATTTGTAAGTTATTACTGGGAAAATATAGGTAGCAAATAACAAATTTGAGCATTTAATTTTAATGACAGATGAGACTTTCTATGATTTACCAATTAAATGTTATTTATAATAATTTCAAATCAAAATACGGAATTTGTGGTCAAGATACTAAGTCCAAAGCTGTTTAAATGTCTTCTTTTTCTCCATTATACGTAACAGAGGTTGTGAATTTAAATTATGGCTTTTTTAACACATTTTAGATAAGTGAGATACTATACAAGGAAGACATTTGTTTATTAACTTGTACAGTTTCTTAAATGTTTGGTAGAAGCAAAATGAAGTTTTTTTCCCCTTGATTTGCTGATTTATTAACTCAGGCATGTGCCTGTAGTTGGAGTTTTAAGAAATTTTTATGTTTGTCATTTTAAATAATGACTAAAGGACCAAAATAAAGCCAGACATCAAAAATTTATACTCATATAGAACTAAGCAGAACCAAAGTGTAACTTGCCTTATTTTACTTAAATGTATATATAATCAAGTAATTCTCCATATTACAAACCCATAACTAATGCTGACGTACCTTTCCAAAAGAGATGTTCTTTGTTCTTTTTAAAAGGTTGAAAAGGTTTTTGTGGTTTAAATGTTGTTACATATTTTACAGCATTAGGATCTATGGAATATTTTGACAACTGCAACACAGTTCAATGAAGTTGGTAATTTCTTCTTTTAATTATTTTTCATTGAACAGCTGGGAAGTTAACATTTCTACATTTTGTATTTTCTGCTATATTTTAGAAACAAAACATTTTGATAAAATGTTTCATGATGGAGGCTTTGTAGGGAAAACAGTTAGATATGACTACAGTATGGTTATTGCTTAGTTGCCTTTATTTTGTACTTATTAAGTTTGGTTAGTGTTCATTTTTGATACGACAGTGTGTGATGTTCCTTACAGCTAGTGATTGTATGTGTGTGACTACACATGCTCATTTTCTTGTGGATAAGTTTTAATTACATGGGAATTCACAGATTATCAGCAAACACCCTAATCCATAGTAGAGTGGGAAATGAACCTGGCTTTATGCATTTCATCAAGTAAAATATTGATATGTTGTACTTCCCTTTATGATAAAAATAATGACTTTTTTAGGATATGACTTATGTTATATAAAGTAGTTGCATTATTTTATACTAAACTTTTTTAAAAAATTTAAAGATGTATTGTTTCTGTTGTGGTGCATATCACCAATTAATACGTTTGATTTCAGATCTACAACTTACTGCTTTGTAAACTTCTCTGAGGTAAAATGAAACCATTTGGTTACTTGAAAACAAAGTAAGCTTAGTAGGGTTTTTCTGTTTAAATTTGCAGTAACTCAAATGTTAGAATTAGAAAGATGAAACAATACATCTTCCATAAACTGAACTTGGTTCAATGCCACATTTTGTCGTAGCCAGTTTTCTACGGAATGGACTCTGGAATAAAATTGATAGCCAAAGGTATTGGTGTAGTAAATGATATTAAGTGTAGACTTCACTCTACACCAGTAGTTTACATACCTAGATTTAAAAAAAAAAAACAAAAACCATAACAATAAAAGCCTAGTTAGCTATGAAAAAATAACTTGTTGTTCTAACTCTAGCACTGATTAAGGCTAGTTATTGAAAATAATAATTAAAATGTAATTGTTCCTGTGCTTAAGGGTAAAACTTTATTTTAAGTCTTTGATATTAATTAAATTGACAGCACTGATCCTAGCGAACCTGAGCTAGGAGCAAAATGTGCTAATGGGAAAAAGTAGGAAGAGTTTTTTTACACTTATATAGTTAGCTTCTATATGATTATGTTGGATTTTTAAAATACTTAAAATAAAGCATTCCCTTCCTCCTCCAAATTCATTCTCAACATACAGGTGTTTGATGAAAGAATTTATATGTAGGAAAAGCAGAGTTTATCTAAATACTAAATTATTTGAATAGTATTTTCTTAAATTAAAAGTACTAATGTACCAGTTATAATGGTAGAAATTTTAAAGTACTGGATTTGTATGTAGTTTCAAAGTTTATTTATAGTAATTAACATGTTAACACTTTCTTATCTCTCATTTTTTTCTTTGCAGCAAGGAGTTAATAATGCTGAAAAATTTGACTATGTAAGTGAACTGTATTTCTCACTTTGTCATCTTCAATATTTTTCCTTGTGATCATTTCATTATATTAAGGGTTTTTTTTAATTTAAAATTTTATTTTATAGGTGATGCAATTTTTGAATAAGATGGCTGGTAATGAATATGTTGGATTCAGTAATGCCACGTGAGTCTCTCCTATTGGGTTTAGTCGGTGTAAGGGAGTTTTTATGTGGGATGGGAAAGGAAATTTTAGTTTAAATTAATACAATATTTTAAAATATACTTTTATGTGGATATTCAGAATTTGGAACTAGACTAATGTGTTAGCATCATTGAAAACATTTTTCCTTAAATAGCTTGGCTAATCTATTGACTTTTCCTTTTTTTATTTTTTTATTTTTAGCTAGGCAGTGGGATTAAGTGACTTGCCCAGGGTCACACAGCTAGTAAGTGTTATGTGTCTGAGGTCGGATTTGAACTCAGGTCCTCCTGAATCCAGGGCTGGTGCTCTATTCACTGCACCACCTAGCTGCCCCCAACAGGGTATTGGGGTGTTTTTTGTTTTTGTTTTTGTTTTTTTTTAAAGGCAGTTGGGGTTAAGTGACTTGCCCAGTGTTAAGTGTTTGGTCTGAGGCCAGATTTGAACTCAAGTCTTCCTGACTTCAGGGCCGGTGCTCTATTCATTGCACCACCTAGCTGCCCCGACTTTCCTTAAAGTATTAATATTTTTAGGAAACATTTTGATCATAAAACTGGCAAAGGTAAACTCCAGGATGAATGTTGTTTACCACAGATTTCAAATAAGTGTTGCTTTTATCCAACAAGATGGAATCCTTTGTTTCCATATGGTTTCTTATATAAGTGGTTTAAAGCAAAAAGCATCAGTAGACTAAACCCTTATTTTATTGTAGACATTGTGTATATTGTTTTTCTGACTTTGCTTACTTCACTTTCATCAGTTCATCTAAGTCTTTCTTGCATTTCCATATTCATCATGTTCATTATTTCTTACAGCACAATAATATTCCATCCCATTCTTGTACCACTGTTTGTTTAGCCTTCCCCCAGTTGATGGGCATCTGCTTTGTTTTTAAGTCTTTGCTGCCATGGAATGTGCTGCTGTAAATATTTTGGTATATATTGAGCTGTTCTTCTTGTGAGTGACCTCCCTGGGATTCTATGCCTTGGAGTAGAATGTCTGGCTCCAAAGTTCTGGGCATGTTAGCCACTTCATTTGCACAATTCCAGATTATTTTCCAGACTAGTTGTATCAATTCACAGCTCTACTAACAATGAATTCATTAGGTTCCTGTCTTTCCACAATCCCTCCAACATTGAATATTCCCATCTTTTGTCATCTTTACCAATTTGCTGGATGTGAAGTGATAACCTCAGGATTGTATTGATTTTCATTTCTCTTATTATTGATTTGGATCATTTTTTATATGGTTGTTAATAGTTTAGAATTAATCTTGAGGCCTGTCTGCTCACATCTTTTGAATACTTATGTATTGGGGGGTATCTTTTTGTCTTATATTTCTGTTAAACTAGTTGTCTTAACATTTCCCCTACTCTTTCATCCCTAAAGTAAATAGCTCCTTTTAAGGTTTTCTAGATTTATGCTGTTCCAACTCTGGAGGAACACTCGAAGGGCAAAATAAGTGAACAAGGGAAGTTTCCTGAAGTCTTAAAAGTCTTCATTAAAAGTTGTTTTGTCCTGGGTTCAAATCTGGCCTCAGACTAGCTGTGCGACCCTGGGCAAAAAAATCACTTAACCCTGATTGCCTCACCAAAAAGCAAAAAAAAAATTGTTTCCTAGTATTATTAGAAGGCCAAGAGTAGGTGAAGATCAACAAAGGTCTTGTTCCATTAGTAATTAGTAATAGTACAATGTCTTCATGTAGCTAGCTAATACAATGGTTAGAACTTAGGTCCTGGAGTCAGGAAGATGAGTTCAAATCCTGTTTCAGACACTTAACTAGCTGGGTAAACCAGGGCAAGTTAACTTTAAAAAAAAAAATCTTTGCCTCAGTTTCCTTATCTATAAAATGGGGATAATAGCACCTACTTCTCAGGGATTCTTTGAGGAAAAAATATTTGTAAAGTGCATAACAAACAAAAAGTTAAAGTACTGTATAAATAATATGCTAGTATATACCAGCATATCAATTCTAACTGCTGCTGCTATTGCAGCTTCTATCACCATTATTGCTATTACTATCATTATTATTACCATAATCACACATAAACCCCTCTGATTCATGAGTCTAGTGGAACCCTTGGGTCTCCTCTTCCACAAGCAAGATAGATTCTTTGTTCATTCATTGACTAATTTAGTATATATTTATTGATCATATATAATGTACAAGCCTTCCTCACCTCTTTTTTTCACTCTGTCCTTATAGGAAAAACTATACAACAGTTCTGAGGGAAAGAAAAAACTGCTGTGTGCAGAATAGATTGTGTTTAAGCATCTCACTTAAATCAGAATTCCTTTACAGTTCATGTTCTGACTAACTACTTATAATGTATTGAGCTCTGAAATTGCCTACTCTGATTTTGTCATTCTTTTTTTTGCCATACCCTTCACTCATCCAGGTTTAGGAGTCCGTATAGCTTATTGGAATTGTTTCCTTTGAACCCTCTCTGGTTTTCTAAGTCTGTCATCCCTTTTCTGGCTTCCAAGCATGGTGGCAAGTAACTATAATCCCAGACACCAAAGTAGGTGGAGGCCAGTGGGAACTCTGAGCTATAGTGAGGTGACCGTAAAGTATTTATTACACCAAGTTCAGTGTCAGTATGGTGAGCCCACAGGAGTGGGGGGTGATCAAGTTGCCTAAGGAGGAGGGGTAAACTATTCCAGCTTGGAAATGGAACAGGTTAGAGCTCCCATGCCTTTGAGTAATAGGATCTAGCCTGAGAATGGTCCCTGTATTTCCAGTTTGGGACCGGTATTCAAAAAACAACAACAAAACCCTCAATGTAGTCTTCTCACCTTGGCATCCCCTAACCCCTTTGACCTTCATCTGTTCCTTCCCTGCCTGTCCCTAACTCTGGGCCATTTTCATTCCCTTTGGAGCCACAGAATACGGTTGAAGGAAGTTGGTTAGAAAATTGCTTTACTTGAGTCCACTACAGATTTGTACTTAAAGTAGGCCCTTACTGCTGTATGACAGTCCTTAGATTCTTATCTTAGTGAGTCTCTGTCTTATTCTCCACACTAGCCATTCCATGATTATCTGTCCATTAATTTAGGATTTCTTTAGTCAGAATCTTCTGTTCATCAAATATTGCATATTTCTGTCATACTAGATTTTTGATTCATAGAATATCTTAAGATATGTTTGAGAAAAATTATTCTGGCAGCTGTATATGTGTTGGATTAGAGCTAGAAGATCAGTGGAAGCTGGCTATTAAAGTTGTCCAGGCTTAGAAATAATGATTGTTTAGTTGGATTAGGATGATTACTGTAAAAATGGAAAGGAAGAGGTGAATTTCAGTGCTGCAGAATTTGGGTCATAGCATCATAAGCCATGACTGTCAGACATTTCAAAATTAGAATTCAGGAAGCTATAATTTCTCCTTTTTTAAGCAGCTTGTCTTTGAGTCTCCCTTACAGTGACTTCCATATGGGTTGACAATGTCCTGCGGTACTTAAGTTTTTTAAATTTCTCTTAAAAATTAAAATTGGCAGTGTAGTACATTTAGACATAGCAATTCTTTGGGGTTTTTTTGAAGTTTATAAAGCATCTGAGCTTTTTAGTCTAAAGAAAAAAGAAGATGTAATTTTTCTAGGCCTTCATGGTATTAGAAATAGACGTCAGATAATGTCCACATGTGGATTTATATAAGAGTAAAGCTGAATAAATGGAATGTTGCTAAGCAGGAGAAATAGCTCTATGAAAATATAATGAAAGCAGCTCTGTAAATGTTTAAGGAAATCTCTATCTGATTGCTAGATCTTGTAGATGTGACTTGCTATTTTTGAAACATTTGCGGTGACAGATGGAGTTGTGAGTCTTCACGTGTCTCAGAACTTGAACTATAGTTCTAATGGCATGTAGTGTAAATGTTTAATTTAATGACTTAGTTAATAACTAACCTGAATTTTTTTTTGTAGTTAATGGTTTCTATTCTACTTATTTACCATACCTGGATTATAAAGATTTCCTTCTAACTAAAGAAACAAATCCGCTTCATGTTAGAATGAGATTGTCCTGTTTTCTGGAGAATTCCCAATTTTTATAATACATATTGTAGTTTATTTTCTACATGTACTGAAAACAAACAATAAATGGCAGAACAAAAGACTTGGGTTCAGACACTTGGAAGCTGGAATAGAAAAACATTTGGTTAGACACTTGTTATTTGCCAAGGTGTGCTAAGCCTCCTCTGGGCACGCAAATAGACGTGCAAGGCAGTTTTTAACTCTCAGAGAGCTCCCATCATAATTAGGGTTCACAACGCATATAGGATGGTTTAGGTTCAGGGCAGATATAAAGGCCCAGTGTAAAGTCTGGGAGTTCTTAAGGAGAAATGGCAAGACAAGTGCTAAGGACCCTAGTGGTCTACTATCTTACTGGAAATATTGCAGCTGATAACCACATTGTCAGTGGTCATGTCCCTGATCAATGTTATTACAAAGGGGATATAATGATCCCTGAGGATCCGAATGGAGCAAGGCTCTCAGGGTCAGCATCTAGCTAGTATCAACTATCACTTGGTGGGAGCTGAGCAATGGGGTTAAGGGAGGGGAAGAGAAGATTCAGCTTTTTCCTGTTGTCCCTTATGGGGGATCTGGCATGGGGAACACAGTGAGCCCTCCCCTACCAAAATCCTTGCTAAGTCTAGAATGGATAAGTCACCTAAGCTCACATAGCCACTTGAAAGAGCCAATATTTGAACTTCCACATTTCTTAACTCTTTAATTTCCTTCTCTACAAGATCCTGAAAGACCTAGTATTATTTTATAGAAATGTCTTATGTAGTGTACCCCAAGAACAGCTTTGTTATGCTCCTGCTTTCTTTGGTGAAAGACTTTGTTATTGTACAGAAAATAGCCTTTTCAAAGAATTATCTTTTTGTGATTCAGTATAATTTGTGTTAACTGTACTGAATTGCTATGTGGGCACAGTAGGAGAATTCTGGAAATTCATTTTTAGTGATATAACATTCTGTGAAATGTTTGATTGTAATTCTTTTTGGAGATTTTGTTTATATATAATTTAGGTTTTAGAATGCTACAGTTTTACAGAATTGCTATGCTTTATTCTCCAGACTGATTCTATTTTGTTTCACAGGTTTCAATCTGAACGAGAAAGTGGAGATCGAAATTTTGCAATAGGATATTACTTAAAGGAGAAAAAGGTTTTTCAATCTTTGTTTTTTACTACAAATTATGCTTTTATGTTCCTTCTTTGTCTTAGCATAGATTATTTTGTTAACCATTGAAGAATGATTATACTAACCCAACACTGAGCATTTTAAGGTGTGTAATGCATTTAACATGGCAAATGGGTTTTAAAATTTTATTTCAAGTTTAAAAAAAAAAGACGTGATATAATATCACATTCTTAACATTTATTTATGATTAGTAATCTTTCCTAATTCCTTCTAAATTATCTCTTCTCATTGCTGTAATATATTCCTATAGTAGCTCTATACCACAAAGTTTTGTGAATTAAATGGTGATACTTGTTCCACCACTGGGGAGCCTACATTCCTATCCTACGTTCGTATGCTGGGATCCCATATCCCATTCACGTCCTTGTCCCAGAGCACCCCTGTAGTCGGGAGAAGCCTAGAGTCATATATTGTGTACCATCAATAAAAGTCACCACATTCAGTTAAAAAAAAAACCCAAAACCCCACCCAAAAAAAACTTTAAAAGTTTCCATCATAATGTTAAAGCAGCATCTGGAAATGGATATTGAATGCTGTGACATAAGCATTATATTGACTTATTTTGAGCCTTTTAAAAAAAAATTTTCCCCCACGTCCACATGTTCATAATTGATTCTCTTCTTTTTCTAGTGTTTTCCAGAAGGTACAGACATGGTTGGTATATTAGACTTCTACTTCCAGGTGATTTATTATGATTTCACTATATAAAATAATGTGTCATTGTATTTTGGGTCATGTTTTTGTGTCTGAAGAGTTGCCTGTGAAACTGTCTATATACAAATTTACCATCAACTTTCATTACAAATGTGAGATTATCTCCAGTAAATACTTTTAATAAGCATTTAAGTGTTTTTTAATAAACTTTTGTCGGGCAGCTAGGTGGAGCAGTGGATAGAGCATGGGCCCTGAAGTAAGGAGGACCTGAGTTCAAATTCAGCCTCAGACCAAACACTTGACTCTTACTAGCTGTGTGACCATGGGCAAGTCACTTAATCCCAGTTGCTTAAAAAAAAAAAACACACCACTTTTGTCCAGGGGCAAAAGGGTCTGCAGCCTTTTATTGTACTTTAGAATTGAATGAGCATTTAAAAATTGTAAAACTAAGGAAAAATAATTTTTCTGTTAAAGCATTGATACTTTGTTGTAAATTAGTATTTTGACCCATAATTTCATTAGTATAGAGATTCCAGTACAGTTATCAGCAGCTCCATATTTCATGTTGCATAGGCCAAAAAAATCATTGTAGTCTTCTTGTTATGAACTTCTTTGCATGACAGTAAGCATTGGAGCAGTAGAACTTTCATGGAAAAGGCAGAGCACTTAATATTAAGTGTCAAAATACTTTACCGAAACTAGAAACTAGAAACTCCAGATTTTAAACTAAGGCTGGGTGTGAAGGTGCATGTGTAGGGAGGCTGAGGATGTTTTGATCTCAGGAATTATGTCCTACATTGGAGCTAAAGCCAACTGAGTGAGCATCCACACTAAACCTTGCACCATTAGGGTGCCAACCAGGGAGGAGGAGCTCACCAGGGTGCCTAAAGAGGGGCAGACCAGTCCAGGTTAGAAACACAGCAAGTCAGAGTTACATTAGGGTGGTGCATTGAATAGAGTACTGGACTTGGGAGTCGGAGAATCCTGCTTCAAATATTTACTAGTTATATGAGCTTGGGTAAATCACTTCTTTCTGCCTCAGTTTCCTAATAGCTCCTACCTCTCAGGGTTATTGTGAGAATGAAATGAGTTAGCATATGTAAAGCACTTTTGCAAACTTAAAGAGTGCCGTATAAATGCTAGTTGTTATCATTTTCTGTTACTATTTTCATTATTATTCATGAATCAGCAGTGGAGTCAGGTCTATGAATGCTCTTCTCCTTCCCCCACCAAAAAAAATAAGCAAAGAGTACCTGATTAGTGAACCTTTGTTTACTATTGGAAGAATGCTAATTATTTTTAAAAGACTCTTGCCCAGCTGTTTACAAAGATAGTTCTTTTGTTTCTGGAATTATGGGATCATAGATTTAGATCTTGAAAGAATGTTAGAGAACTGGGAGGATACTTTCTGAGTTTTTCTTAGAAGACTGCCCTGGTCCCACTTGCAATTTAAATAATCATTTTTATAATTATTTCTTTGAGCTTTGCCCATGAGTTTCCCTTCCTTTATATAAGGTGGGGTATTCACTATAACATAACCTGATGTTTTGGTGGACTCACAGTGTGGCTTCATCTTGGATTTTTCATCTAGATGTATAACTTTACAGAATAGTATTGTCCTCCACAGCTACTTAATGAGTATCCTGTCATCATTTTCCAGTGTTCCTTGCATCTGTGTTAACATTCACTAAAACCAGATTAAGTAGAAACTGCTTACCAGGATTCTCATCAGTAGTATTATCCACTTATACCTTCCTTCTTTTCCTGTTCTCATACTCACGAGACCATAGGAATTTTTCCTAGGCCTTAAGAAAGCGTAACTATTTTTCTTCTGCTTTTAGTCTGAGTGTTTAATTTAACTATGCTGGCAGAACACACAGTTAAGTAATATCTAAAAAGTACTTTATGTAGCCTGAAAGTTACTGAAGTTCATTCATTCATTGTAAAATGAAAACTAGAAGTATGAGCATTTCAAATTAAGATGCTAATAATAATACAGTGCAGAATTTTTGTGTACATTTTATCTTATAAGCCTCACAGTAGTCCTATAAAATAGATATTACTTGTTGCCATTTAACAGTTGTGTAAACTGAGGCTGAGACACACTACTGTATATACTTAGCTATAGTCAAAGAACTAGGGTTAAAGGTTATGAATTACTGATTATTAGTTCTTGAGGATAGGGAATCAGCCAGAAAAATAGTAAGTGCTCAAAAACAGGATGTGTGGGGAGAGGTTGCTACAAATAAGCAACAAATAAAAATGGATATTTTTGCTGTCCTAACTCTGCTAAATGTCATTTATGATTGTTTTGTTTTCAGTGCTGTGGACTTTGTTAAAAAGGGGCTTTGCTGTGAGGGGAATTCACTGAAGAAAAATTAAATAGAGATGGAAGGGATCTTAATTGTGAAGTATTCCAACTTCTTGTTGTTTAGCTGAATTAACTGAGGGCCAGAGGTTGTGACTTGCCTAAAGGTCACACAGTAAGATAGTAGCAGAGTTTTTTTAATGTATTAACATGTTTCTGATGAGCTGACATTTGGTTTCATACTGTCCTCTGCTGCCTGTATGTCGTAGTGTGCTTTCCCAAAATATTTGAGGCTGTTCAAATATAGGAAATGCTCGATTTTTGAAGATCCTTTGTGAATTCTCTGGCTTCTAATGTTTTTGTCATTTAAAAAAAAAGTTTCAAAATGTGCTTGCTCTTTTTTTTTTCCCAGTCTTATTTCCCAAGTAAATTCTAATGTGAAAACTGGGTTTAAATACAAAACATTGTAGTTTAGCATTTTTTTTCTTATGAAAAATTTTTAATAAGGTAATATTCTTGTTTAGGCACATACTAGCATCCAACCCATACCCCAAAGTTGTTCTACTCTGTTCCTTTTCTCTCCTTATTCGTACATGCTGTCTAGCTACCCTCATTCTCTCCTCCTCAACAACCTGAATATTTTTCCCTTGAAATTTGGAGGTTTAATTAATAAATCAACAAACATTTTATCAAGTATATATTCCATACTAGGCATTGTGCTAGGCATTAGAGATACAAAGACAGAGAGGGAAGTTTGGAAGAGCTGTAGGTCTGTGGAAGAAAATAATGAGTTTTGCTATGGATATACTGAGTTTTAGATCCCTTTGGGACATCTAGTTTGAAATTTCCAATAGTTAATTGGACATTTTTCTTATTAATTTTGAAGCTCTACTAGATCTTTCTGCATTTCTATGATCCGAATAACTCTTTGCTTAACTCCAGAGATGAAAGCCACTCCTTATTTAGATAGTTTGTGCCAGATGTACTGAGCTGGTGCTAATTTATCAGTAGCTTGAACTGGGATAGCTGCAATATCCTTCTGAGGCACAGAATTCTCTAGGCCTACCTGTGTCTTTTCTGTAATTCCTTTAATGAATTAGACCTTGGCAGAGAACCGAGGGCCCAATATACATATCTGGGTGTCATCTGCATAGGGATAATAATTTCAACCCATGGGGTCTGATTAAGTCACCAGAAATGTAGAGAGAGGAAAGGAGGACATCCAGGACCAAGCTTTGGAGTATACCCAAAGTTAGGGGTGGCTACATATTATTCAGCAAAGGAAACTGAGGAAAGGTCAGAGAGGTAGAGGAATACGAGAGAGAATACAAGTGGAAGAGGATTAAGTGCTTTTTATTCTATGTAATTTTTAAATATGTCCCAAATATCTTGAAGGGGTAGGTTCCTAGTATATGAAACCTGTGGGAATCAAATATTTTCTTCATCTAATTTAACTTTTTTTTATTTCTGACATTGCCTTAACTTTTAAAATATGGCATGTTTCATTTTCCTTGCTGTTGAAATAAAAATGTGTCCTTTACATTGAGTATTCCTGTTTAAGCAATATAACACAAAGTGGTTCTTTGTTCTTGAACAAATGAATGAAAAGACATTTATTAAATGTTTATTATGTGTCAAGGATGAAGTATACATTTATGAAATTGGAGACAATCTCTGCTGTTAAGGAGCCTGGGTTCTAATAAGGGAGCAGAACATTGGGAAGGAGTGGCCAGGGAGTATATTTTAGTTTGGAAAATTGCAGGGGGTGGTGAGTAGAGCCATAGAGGAATAGATTGATAAATTCTTTCCCATAGCAATAGCAGTATTATTTGATTATGGTTCCAAAACTATAAAGTGGAGTGGAGGGGAACCTGTCTATGTATCTAGTACCAGTGTAGTTGGCAAGAGGGCAACAGGGCAGTCTAGTCTGTCTGGGGCTACTTGGATATAATGGACCCCATGAGGCACTCAGCAATCAGGCAAGTAAGGCTTGGAGTAACTTGTATGAGAGGGATAGATAGGGAGAGGAATGGGGAATGGATCTGTAATTTCATTGGTTTAGGAAACCCCCAGGTGAAGAAACTCCTTCTACCAAATGAGGGAGCTAGTATGCCTTGAACCAGGTCTTCCACTACACAGTGCACTTGTGTGGCTCATTAATATTGTCATTTTAGGAACTGGGTTCTAATGCTAAGTCTGCTCTAGAGTAACAAGCCATTTCATTTATTAGAGAGTTTTTTAGTAACGAGAGATCTATTTAATATCCTACAGGGGTGGAGAACCTATGGCCTTGAGGCCACATGTAGCCCTCTAAGTCTTTGGGTGCGGCCCTTTGAGTCCAAGTTTTACAGAATAAATCCTTTTATTAAGGGGATTTATTCTGTGAAATTTGGATTCAGTCAAAGGGCCGTCCCCAAGGAACCTAGACAGCCACATGTGGCCTCAAGGCCGTAGGTTCCCCTCCCTATACAATAGTACTACATTATCCCTCCAGAAAGAGGGTTGTCTGTCATATGTCCATAAAATAAGAATTCAGATAGCCTTACCTAGGAGTTAATTTTAAATTTGTTTTGTAAGAAATTAGGATTTACATTTTCAGAATTCTTTTTTTCTTTTTTTAGTTGTGTTCTATTGAAGTGACTTGTGAATCAGCCAGTGTGATGGCTTCCACATTAGCTAATGGTGGTTTCTGCCCAATTACTGGTGAAAGAGTGCTGAGCCCTGAAGCAGTTCGAAATACACTAAGTTTGATGCATTCTTGTGGCATGTATGACTTCTCAGGTCAATTTGCTTTCCATGTAAGTAATTACTACATGCTAATTTTCTCTAGCAAGAAACTAGTGTGGACTGGTTTAAAAAAGATATGTTCTGAAAACATTTGTACTTTGCATTTACACTGTATAATGATTTTTGAGAGTCTTATTATCAGGGTTAATTTATTACAGAATTGGTAACACAGCTAAGCATTATCTTTACTGCTCTTAACTCTAGGACTAAAAAGAAAAAAAAATCTAGTACTAGTTTATAGAAATACTTCATGTCCATTTGTATTTTCAAGGTCAATAGAGACATAATTGTAGCTGTTAATGTTTAGTTTAACACCAGGGTGATAAATGCTTCAAGAATTCCTAAAGTTTAAAAATGATCCTTTAATTGGTTTGGTAAATGCTTAGCATGCATGGTTTTAAAGTTAGATCAATTTAAAACTGTTATTAATTAGTTTAGGAAAGGTAAAAGGACTAAAAGCATGAGAAACCTCTTCCCATGTTAGCCTGATAAGAACCAATTTTTTTCTGCTCTTTTACATATTTTCCATTTATAAGTCTTAAAGAGTGTGGTTTCTTTAAAAAATCCTTTATGTTTCAAGCCTTATTTGTGTGTCGGTGAGCCTTTGTTTTACTTCCTTTCCTTCCCCCCCCCCATAGTCATTTATTCAGTAACCATTTAATTGTCTCAACACCCAAAATAGAAAGATTGGCATAATATTTATGCTGTTGGTTATTTTGAAGATAAAAGTGAATTTGAATAGAACATCCCTCCTTTTTATATTTTTTGTATCCCATATAACAAGCATATAGGGACAAGTAATCTATAAGAAGTTAATGCATTTAAAGATTCCATCATCACATATTTCAGTCATAGGTTATAAGTAACTAGGTGGCATAATGGATTGAGTGCTATAGACTTAGAGACGGGAAGATATGAATTCTGTTTCTGACAGAAGTTTAATAGACTTGCAGACCTTGAAGTGGTATATAAATGTTAGCTTTTCTTACTGTTTATCATCATGTTAACTTGAATAACATTTTTCTTTAATGTTTTGCAGGTTGGTCTTCCTGCAAAATCTGGAGTTGCTGGGGGCATTCTTTTAGTTGTTCCTAATGTTATGGGAATGATGTGCTGGTCTCCTCCATTGGATAAGATGGGCAATAGCGTTAAGGGAATTCATTTCTGTCATGTAAGCAAATTTTCTTAATAGGAATAGTAACCAAAGAGTCATTACTCCAAGAAATGATATTAGGTCAATGTTGTTGTTAGAAAATAATACGTTTTTTTGCCTATGTCTAATTGTGGGTTGATACCCAAGATAAATAAGATAAGAGAGTATCTAGCTGCCATTGAGTTCCACTGCCTTGGATGAGTTTGAATCAGTAGGACAGACCACACAAGCCTTATCTCAGGACACTGAAGAACAGCAAATGTGATTCCTGGGCCCTTATTGGTGATCTTGGAAAGTTCATGTAGAATAGGTGAGGTATACCACAGAATTGGAGAAGGGAGCATTGTCCCAGTTTCCAGAAGGGGAAAGATAATGGGAGTCTGCAAACTAGAGACTAGTGAAGTTGATTTTGATTTCTGGCCAAAAAAGAACATTAACGGACAAATCTCTCAGTGAATATCCAGAAGAGGAAGCAGTGATCACAAAAAAGCAATGTGACTTCAACAAGAAAAAATTTCCTCCTGACAAGGTTACTAAACTGATAAATCCAGGGAAGTGCTGTAGATATGATTTACCTAGGTTTTATCCAAGCATTTGGCAAAGTCTGGTGTTATTTTTGTGGGAAAGATGGAGAGATGTAGTCAGGGTTTATTAAGCTTTTACTGTCATACACCCCTTTGGCAGTCTGGTGAAATCTATAGACCCATGCTCAGGATAATGTTTTAAATACCTAGAATAAAATACATAAAATTACAAAGGAAACCAATTATGTTCAGATACAAATATCCACATTAAAAAAAAAAACAAGTTCATGGACCCCAGGTTAGTATAATACTATAGTTAGTATCATATAATTAAGTGGTTTTAGAACTGGTTGAATGGCCAGATACAGAATAATAATCATTAGTAGTGTTATGCTAACTTGGAGGAATGTTTCCAGTGGGGTAGTATACCATGGCATGGATCTTTGCTTGGTTATGTAATATTTTAATATTTTAATAGGTGACTTAAATTAAGGGTGGTAAGATGGCATATTTTTCAAGTGTGCAGATGACACAACTCTAGATATAATAGCTAACACAGTGGATGAATTAGGATTCAAAAAGCTCTGGACAGGTTAGAGCTTTGAGCTGAATGCATAATGAAATTTAATAGAACTAAATTTCAAATTTTTTATTTAGCTTAATAAAAACAGTTTCCCAAATACAAGGTGAGTGAGGCATAGCTATGCAGAAGTTTGAAAAAGATACAGGGAATGAGGAGATCAGGGTTAGTGGACTTTAAATGCAATATGATTCAACACTGTGATAAAGCAGCCAAGAAAATTCATGTAACAGTGTGAATTAAGAGAGACCTAATGTCAGTGACTAGGGAAGTGTTGGCTTCTACTATATTCTGCTTTGGTCAGAGCCTCCTCTTCTAGAGGATTGTGTTTGAGTTTGGGAAACCACATTTTGGGAAAGACAAAGGATATAGAATACTGGTGGAGGAAGACCTCAAATTCATGTCATGAGAGACTCAGGTGAAGGAATTTAGAGACTTAGACCTTGGAAGATACAAATGTTCTCTCGGTATTTGAAGATCCATTATATGGAGGAGTACCAGATGATTGATCCCAGAAGGCATAACTAGGACTGGTGGATGGAAGTTGTACATTTGGTTTTTTTTTTCCCAGTTATATCCAATTCTTCAGGATCCTATTTGGAGTTTTTCTTGGAAAACATACTGGAGTTGTTTTGTACTCAGGTCCTCCTGATATCAGGGCCAGCAGTGCACCACCTAGCTGCCCTTGGGTATAGAAGTTACAAAGAGTTAAATTTAGGTTTGATGAAATGACAAAAGTAAAACTTGACTGCATTTTCTAAAAATGTATTGTATTTTGTATTGGGAATACTTATGAATTATTAATAATTAGCAAGCTAATTATATCATCTCTTTAATTTACAGGATCTGGTTTCTTTGTGTAATTTCCATAACTATGATAATTTGAGACACTTTGCAAAAAAACTTGATCCTCGAAGAGAAGGTGGTGATCAGAGGGTAAGCTAAAACTTCATTTTATACTACACTATAGTCTGTTTTATAGTAAAGGAATAAGAAATGTACCTTTCATTGGTATATCTGTATTTAATAAAGCTTTTTAGTTTAGGTTTTTATTAACTGTGAATGAGGGTAAATAAATTATTGGAAGCATTTGTGGAAATTATCTTGAATTGACATATGCACAATAAGTGTTTTTCTTGTGTTTTTAAGAACTAGAGCAATTTATTCTTGATAAATAAGTTTTCTGTCTTCTGCACTACTTACTGAATACGAGATTTGGGATTAATTCTTTATAGAGATGTAGGTAGACATTGGTAGTGCAAACAAATATGCCTTGTTTTCAATGTTTGTTAGTTTAAAAAGTGAGTTGTGCTTTGAAGTGAACCTTTTGTCCTGACTAGAATGTTGGTGGTTATGTTAGAAAAGAAGGGAGCTATAGGTTAGTGGTAGAGGTTACCAAGTTGAGAAAGAAAGTTTTCTAGGTCATGGTAAGTTAAAAATTTTTCATTTTAAAAAACTTTAATTATGTGTGCATTTTCAACCAGTAATATCTTCAGTTGAAAGTTGTGTTTTTATTTGTATCAGTAGGTTAGGTTTCAAGTATTGCAGTTTTCATCATCTCATTGTTTTGAGGCTAACTTCAGTGAGAGTCAAATTCAGCATCATTGCACCTATAAAAATATTGGATTGGTCTTTGGACTCATGTGTTCGGAGTTTTCTGTCAGTTCTTTTTTGCATTTCATGTAAAATGGGTATAGTAATTTTATATCATAGAAATTCGAAGCTTTCTGTAACTAGAAAAAGATCTGATAAATGCTGTATGATGCCCTTGTTATTCTCCCTTGGAATAATAGTGATAATAGCTAACATTTATAGAATGCTGTAAGGTTTGCAAAGCACTTTACATAAGTTATATTATTTGTTACTCTCTTTTGAATAGTTTCACAAAGTACATAAGAGTAATGCAAGACAAGATAGAACCTTCCATAAGAGGTATACTAAATTACGTGAAATAAAATATCAAGTGGTGGTGGTGGTGGGTGAATGCTAATGGATTCTAATAACATTCATTGAAAAATACCATTTTGTAGCTTGGACCTTTCTTCACTCAAGTGCACTAATAAAATTATGTATGTTGCTTGAACAACTAGCATTCCTTTGGACCCTTGGATTATGAAAGTCTCCAACAAGAACTTGCTCTAAAAGATACAGTATGGAAAAAAGTGTCACCTGAGGCAAATGAGGACATCTCCACAACTGTAGTGTATAGAATGGAAAGTCTGGGAGAGAAAAGCTAAAGGAAATGGGATCTAGTGTCAGAATTTTCTTTATTGACGCTTATGAAATGTCTTTTGTTTCATGCATATTTTCAATATTTATTTGATTATTATTATTATTATTTTGTTTCTTAACTTTTGGGACAAGCCATGGACTTTTATCTATCCCATTCTAATCCTTGTGTAAAACTATCAAAAATCAAAAACTTGGATTCATTGGCCTTTTCAAAACTGAAAAATAGGCATCAAAGAAAATATATTTTTAAAGAAAACTGTAAAAAGGAAACATGTCATTTAGTTTAAAATTCTCTTCTAAAAATATTTTGCAACAATTAGTTTTATATACCCACACATTTTCAAATTGGAAAAATAGAAGCTCTTGATTTCGAATCTATTATTAAACCTTTATTTTTCAGTTCTTTAAGCTGACTGACATGGTGTCTATAATATCATTTTCTTAGCCAAATGCAAAGAGCAGAGTAACCAATTTTCAGGTTTATTTTATTTAATGTTAATCATTGACACCATATCAGAATTGTTCTAAAATACAAAGTGACTTCAAGTTAAGCTCAGAAATATTTTGTAGCACTTTTTGATACTTTTTATTACTTGCAACATTCTTAGCAATTTTTTTGAGGTCTGGTAGTGAATATATGTAGTGCCTAGTTATTCTTTGCAATCCCAGTGTTTCAGTAATGATGAAATTTCATGGGTAGGAGTAACTTGTGTTACTCCTGAACATTCCAGCCAGAATAACTTCAGGTATAAAATTAATGCTCAAATTGCTTGTAACTAGAAGGAACAAAAGTATTTCTAAAAGAAATTGTCTCTAATTATTAGCAGTTTTATTTTCATTTTCCAACTTAACTTTTTCTAGATGATAATTAAACAAAAAGGATTTTTGTTTTCTTTAACTTTTCATGAAGGGTGTTTTTTTCCTCCACAATAAAGTAGGAACACATCTGTTAGCTTCCAAGGATGTTTTATTTGCACTGTTTAAGTGTATTGACATAGGAATGGACTAAAGAACTTTTTGGAATTTCGTACTACATCAAGACATTTTAATTTTATATTCTAATTCCTTGAAGTTAGATTTCTAGTTACTCGAAATGTGTATTGAGAATAACATGTCCAAAAAAAAACCTGGTAACTATGATAAACATACTTAAAACTCTTTTGACAAATGATATTTTGAAATTACACAGGACCTAGTCACAATTCTTCCCTCAGTTTACCTGCTTGCTTTACCCAAAGTTCGATCATAGGCCAGTTCTTTATTTTTGTTGAAAGCTGTAATCATTTCTTTTGAGAGGGATAGAGCATGTAGACTTGTAATTGTAGGTTATACATGTCAACATGTCAGAGTAAAGATTACTAAAGGATAATAAGACATAAAAGAAAGGTTGTTCAGAACACTTAGAGGGATCTTTTGACTGTGTAATAACCAAAATGAAGAGATGTTAGCTTAAGGACAAGGCAGTGTGGCATTACAAAGCTTGTGTTCAAAGTCCACCTCAGACAATTAACAACGGCTTTGTGACCCTGAGCAAGTCACTTAACCTCAGTGCTCTAGACAGTGCTCAAAGACAAAACCTTTTAAGGTTTTTCCCATGAGTCATAGGGTTGTTTAAAATAGTATGATACATTACTGCTATGAAAGCCATTATTATTGTTATTTTTATTTTTAAAGTAGGAAAGACTTTTGGAGAACATCTTTACTATTGTAACCTTGGACTTGATTCAGACTGCTACAACAATCCTCATATAATTGCCATTAAAGATTTGAACAGGTTGAATGCCTAAAGCAGTGAATTGGGAGAAGGTTCTCTTTTTTTCTCCCCACTTATCCAACTCCTGCTACTATTCATTTTGTCATAAGTTTTATTTTTTAGAGTTAACATATTTAATAAAATTGATTTTTTTGTTAATAAAACTGGACGTAGTTACGAAAATTATCATGAAAAGGAACTGTTATATTTTCACCCATTGATATATATTTATAATCATAAGTTGTTTGTAGGATTTACCTGACTTTGTTGAAAAACTTTAATTTTCATTTAGAAGTAGGATAACCACAAAATTACCCAGTAAGTTTATAGAAAAAGAACCAAAAAATTTAAGAAAATATTCGATCTTTGGAGGAAAGAGAGAATGAAATGAGAGGGAAGATATACTTGTGAATAGGACCCAAAGCATTAGTTAAAAAAAAAAAACTTCCAGGGTTTAAAGGCTTTATCTTGCATCTTTCAGTATTACCAGTACTATTTCCAAGATGATCCTTTAAAAATGCCTATGACTGTTGGATTTCATTTGTTTCATACCATTACTGATTCTTGATATTCAAGCATTTTAGAAGTTAGTATGTTTTTCTTTGTTGGCATCATTGACATTTCATTTGAAATGTACATTTCTTTAAATACTTTGTTTTTTAGCATAAATGTTGTGCATTTTGCTTGAGTATTTAGATTTAAAACATTTGTCTTATTTAGCCTCTTTTTCATTGCTTTGTATATTTAATGTACCTTTTGTTTCCAGCATGCATATATTTTGTATTGTATAATAAATTTATTTTAAGCTGATTTTATTGTTTTGAACGTGTTTTTGATGAAAACAACTCCAACTATTTATTCAGATCTTATGTTGGAGGTTTTTAATTTAGAAAAAAAAATTACCTGCTATAAGAATACCATCAAAAGTGTTAACATTTAATCATAAGACTGCTATGAAGAGAAACTGGAAATACTTAAAGGTGCATCAGTTGCTTTTTTTTCTGCAGTGTGGTTGTTGGGGGATATTTTTTGTTTTCATTTTGTTTTTGTTTGTTTTTTATTGGTTGTGTACTAGAAGCATTTAAATAAAGACTTTTTTCTTTGAGGTTTTTTTTGGGGGGGTTGTTTTCCATATAGCAGCACTAATTACCTCCTCCACCCAAAAAACAAAACAAACCATTGGTAGAAAAGTGTTCAATTAAATTACTTTCTGCATTCTGAGAAGAGAGTATTATTAATTTTTGACATTTATAGATTTTTATTAATACATGACCCTGAATTCATTCCCTACACAGTAGGAAAAATGTATTACTCATTTCAAAAAAGGATTTAGAGTCTTGGAACTGACACACCATATGCTACAGAAGGAAAATCTTAGACCCTGTGTATGAGAATTTCATTACGATAATTTCATAGTATGGACTAAATTATCCTTTTTTTTTTTTAAAGAAAACCCCACATTTCCCACGAGTTGACATTTCATTGGTTTTTAAATTGTTTGATTAAATTCTCACCACGTAGCATTCTTGCTTATGTTTTTCCATATGATCTTTCTCAGAGGGTCTGTCCAATGCCTTCCTCAGTGGGATTTAATACGTGGAATTCAACTTCAGCATAGGTTAAGGAACACCTACATTGTAGCAGGATACCATGACTTTAAATTAACAGGGCAGAAAAACATAATATTTTAAAAATATGTATCAGATCAAATGGTGCACATCCAAAATTGGACATTTTCCTTTTTGGGGGTAATATACATAGTAAGCTAGATACAATTTTACTTTTAATAAATAACCCATTTTACTTCACTAGTAGGGATTTGCACATTGATTTGTTTTGCCTCTTTGATGACCTTGGAAACCTTGAAGTGTTTTTAAAAGGTAACGTTTTTTATTTCTTCTCGGAGAAATGGATACATCAGCAATTTGTGCCTCCCTTACTGTGTATCTTTAATCCTTTATCCACTGTTTCCAATATTTTTTAAAATGTCCATTTGTAATGAAACCCAAGTTGGTCAAAACTTAAGAGAGATATTGTAAGTTGGATTTTGGTGTACTAGCTTCACAATAGACCGTTTTACAGTATTATTTAGATGAAGTCTCCCAATGTAATTTTAATCACTTTGGCTTAAAACATTGTAATTTTTTTGTTTATTACATACAATTAGAAAACATACCAAGAAGTTTTTATTTGTATCCCCATTTGTACTTTTTATTATTTGTAAGACAAATAGAAGATTCTTTTGTTTTGTCAGTTAGATGATTACTGTGAATTCTGTATTATGAAATACATCAACTTGAAGAAACCACATTTTATTGTCACATTTTTATAAAATTTGTATTACTAAACTGAAAAACAAATTTTCAGAGCTACTGTTTTGCCAAATAGCTTCAGAAATCTAAATTTTAGTTATTGCTGTGCCAGGATATACACTAAAAAGTGTCATGTGGAAAAATGGAAAATCTAACGAGATAAAATTTAGTAAAGCCTGTTGATTGGTTATTTGAACTTTTTTTAAATATAAATAATAGAAGACACTGAAGCTTTTTTGTAAAACTGGGTTTTACATAAGCTCCATATGGCTTCATGTTGATGAACCTTCATGTTCTTATCACCATAATTTTTTTTTATTTTTTTAAAAATTGTGATCAGAAATTGAACACTTTTTGACCCAAGTTGTAGGTTTATAGTATTATTTCCATGAGCTGGTCGGTGGTAACTTCTGCCCACATAGCATTATCTTAATAGTTGTCTTAAATAAAAGCCTCCTGATTTGCTGTGATTTCATTTAAATGAATATAGCCTTGGTGAGCACTTTGCTATATTTTAGATTGTTCATTGTAGTTTTCCATATAAATTATCATACATCATTAGTTTGGTAAATGGTATCAGCTTTTTAAAAAATGGAATCTTCTGTAAATTAAGTTCTGAAATTTTTGTTATTGAAATTAAATGATAGACCATTGTTTGTAAGGCAAGGAACGAAATATATGTGAAAAGATACCAGCTTTTCTTTGGCTATTAATTTATCTTATAAGATATTTGTTAATACAAATACTGTAGGGCAGCTAGGTGGCGCAGTGGATACAGCACTGCCCCTGGAGTCAGGAGGACCTGAGTTCAAATATGGCCTCAGACCAGACACTTGACACTAAGCTGTGTGACCCTGGGCAATTGCCTCACCAAAAAGCAAAAAACCCCAAAAAACAAAAAATACAAATACTGCAGAAATGACACCTGCATCTGTTTCATGAAGCTAAAAGATGCTATGGAAAGAAAAAAATTATCTGATATTTTTTCATCTTTACAGCTTATTATGTCAGCATTTTCAATAACTAAAATGCCGATAAACTGTCAGCTCAATTCAGAAATTTAAGATTTGTTTTCATTTATGCTCAAAAACAGCCAGACTGATTTTCTTTCTAAAATGAGTCAGTTTGTGTCAACATTTTTGTGCTGTTGGTTTGGATTTTTATTTTTAGAATCACAGAAATCTGAACCAGAGACTAAAAACCACAAAGTCTAGTTACTCTATTTTATTCAGTAGGGAATTAACACCTGTATCAGTTGAATTGACTACAAATTTTAAACTTTTCAAACACTTAACAAGTGCAATAAGTTGCTTTATTTTTGTGTTTTCTTTTCAAAGTACTTTCAATAAAAAGAACAGGCACTGATGAACAGAAGTCAATCTGAAGGCAAATCAGTTGTGGGGTGTGATCAACCTTTCTGAGATTGTTAAGCTCTAGTTAATTTTTCCCACAACTATGAAAGTTAATTCCTCATTAATTCTGAAAGCAGATCACACGATTTACAGTGGTTCCCAAAATGAAGAATTACTATTAAATCCTTTGAAAGTCAGTTCTGGGACATTATGACACCAAAAATAAATGTTGCATCAACAGCTTTTAAAAATAACTGCTTCTGCTGGGGGGTGGGGTGGGCAAAAGGTAATAACTAATGAAATAGATGAGAAAGAGGCTTTTGGAAAAGTTGAAAAAATTCCTCATACTTCCAAGTTTGATAAGTCACAGGCTTAATATGTTTTAAGCTGCTATCGAGTACTAGATCTTTTAAAATTAATTCTAGCTAGTCCTACCCCCAAATTTAACAAATTGAGTAGTGCCTGAAAGCTTATGATGGAAATCAGCACTTATTCAGTAAAAAATTGCAACACATATACTAAAATTGGAACAACTGTCGCAAGGATGATATGCAAATTTGTGAAGTATTTATTACAGAATTAATACTAAAATTAGTAGTATTTAGCCCTTTAAACTCTTGTTATTCTGGTGAGTTATGTTAAAATGTATTTTTCTGATTTTAGTTTAATCTGCGCTTGGAATGTTTTGCATATGTTATCAAGAAAAATTTATTGCATATCCACATGTGGTTGACACAAAAATTAAGCCTTCTCTTTTGAGTTTCCCATTCTGTAAAATGATATTGGGGCAGCTAGGTGGTGAGTCAGGAGAACCTGAATTCAAATTGGACCTCAGACACTTATTAGCCATATGACTCTGATTGTGTCCTCCCAAAAATGATTATTAAATATACTTTGGGAACTTGAGCTAAAATTTATTTAGCTCTATTCCTCTGTGTTCTCATTTAACATAGCACTGTCTTAAAATTCAATATATCTTGCCTTTATTATTTTTCCATGTGAAATTTAGAATCTGGGAGCAAAGTGAACTATTGAATTATATAGCTTACCCAACAAAAGTTTTACCTTTAATGTAACTTTATTTTAACAACCCAGAAATTTAAGATAATTCTTTTATTCCATAAGTTTTACTTTTTAAAAAAAATTCATATTCAATAAAGACTAACATTTCTTTTCTAATTTTACTTTTCATTGAAACTTCTTAGCATATAGCCTTGGGTACACATTTGGATTTGGCCATGTGTCCAAGCCTAAATGCACTTAACTGTCTGTAATTTAAATATAAAGGTATGAACTAAATGATTTGCTGTTGTTGATTATAACCATTTAAATAGGTAGAAGTGAACTGAAATACAAATAAACTATTTCAAGTAATGTAAATGCTACACATGTTCTCTGTACCATCAAATTGAAAGGCAGCTAAAATAATGAACACTTTTGTTAAACTAATTACACCAATAATTACACCTCCTTTTTGTTCTTTTGTCCTGTTTGGTGGAAAGATGAGATTGACTTTTTTTCACTTAACTGTTTGAAAAATTGTTCCATTGAAGATAGATAGCATCTTTCATTTAAAATATGGCATATGCTACATGAAGGACAAAAGGCAGAGGTGTCAGGGGACTGTGTCAACCTCTTAATGTTTTAACCTTAGCTTTTTAAAATAGCTAACTTTGTACTCAGTGTTTTCACCTCATTTCCATTAGCACTATACTAGTGAGTCAATACTGACCTTTATTTTTCTATCCTCATCTCTCCATTCCCCAAACCTCTATTTCTCTCTTCCCTACTCACCGACTGCCTTTCAGCTTAGTGTTGACTCATTCTTTACACAAATATAATATCTTGCAAAGTTATAGAAACAGCTACTATGGAAACTGGATATTATGAATAAAACTTTATTTGGATTTCCTGTATTTTTACTTACAAATCAAATGTTGATGGCTTTATTCAGTGCTTCATTAAGATGGAAATTAAATTGCCCAAATGAACTTTAAACCCGAATCAGTAACACCTATCCTAATTAGTTTTAAAAGTTTTAGTTTATTCCTTAAATTCCATTGATTTTAGGGCAGTTAGTGGTACAGTAGATAGAGCACTGGCCCTGGAGTCAGGAGGACCTGAGTTCAGATTTGCCCTCAGACACTTTGTGAGCTTGGGAAAGTCGTTTAACCCCAATTGCCTTCCCCCCCCCAAAAAAAAATTACATTGACTTTAACCTAGGTTTTATATGACTATATACAACATTAAAATTTTTGTGGTTTGTAAGTGAAAGAATGTTTTGCAAAAGAGATATTTTTAGCTGATACTATGGGTGTAGAACCCAGAGGAAAATATTCTTACTCCTCATCACAGACTGTCCAGCACTGAAAAGACTTCACCTGAATATATATGCTCTTTTCCTGCCCCACTATCAGAGGCCACTGTGTTTAGTGGAAGAT